CAGCCACAAAGCAGGAGGCTGGTGCCGATCTCTGTTTAAATGAGAAATGGAAAAATACACAATCCCATGGAGCCCCTCCACAGGCAGGCGGTGCCATTAAACCTCTCAGTAATGTGAAGAGACCTGCTAGAAGCTGCACACCAACTACACATAATAGCTCATTCCCCTCGGGGCTGGGCAGGTTTCCTGCCAACATTTCTTTCCCTCCCTCCCCTCAGACCCAACATCCCCAGCCTAGAAAACATGAGGCATCTTCCAGGTCGTGCTCAGGGGAGAAACACTAACGATCTATTTTGTAGCACCAATGGGATCATCCTGCTTTCCAGCAGGCACCAGCATACCGTTCAATCTGTGCACTGACCAACCTCTGGCTGCTTCTGGGGAGTCCGAAGTGCTTACCTTTCGAGGATACAGGAATCTCCACAGTGAGAGTGGGACGCTTGGAGAAGCGCCTGCCCACCCCCTTCCTCTTTGTGGCAGCCGGCAGGGCTGGGGTTGGGCATGGCACAGCTGCCCCCAGTGCTCTGGCAGGCAGAGCCGTCCCACCTGCAGACTTGCCTTTGCAGCTCCCCATGTTAGGACACGACACAACACGCAGCAGCGCTGGGCAGCTGTAGAAGGGTGCTGGCCCTCAACCTGCCCGCAGGAACAGGATGATGGGGAATATTTCCTGAGTTCTTGTCCCAGCCCAAACACTGCCTGTTTTTGTTATGGACTGTGTGTCTGCCATCCGCTATCTGGGTAACATCAACCAGCAAATCCCTCAGCAGCCCAATGGGGCTGAAGAGCTTTGCAACAGCAGCAAACTAGACTGTCTCACCTTGTTATCCCCTCTGCGTCTGCTGTCTAACACTGACCACATTTCCTTGCTCTTGTGGCATTATTGGAACGAGTCACATGGGTCCTCATGTTCTGTCCTGCACTAATGAAACTGTCAGTCAGCAGCAGAGCTTGTACATCTCGGGGATTACCAAAGCCCTCATCTGCAGGTTTTCCCCTGGCAAGATGTGAGGGATAATCCAGCTGCATGAGCATACTGTGAATAAATCAAGCTTTATTAAAGAAATCGATACTTTCAACCTAGATTATGCCTCCTGCCAGGAAGGTGACATCATTACTGGTGCAGGTATTAGCGTTCTGCTGAGCTGCAACTGGAATGGAGCCTGTGCTTTGCTAGGCTTCTCAGGAGTCGCCATGCAAAACCTCAGCACTCAGACTTGGTAGCTGTGGTTCATGAAACAACGCTAGGTTGGATCGTGTTGTTTATTGCATGACCAAACTGCTGCTTCTTAAAACTGCTAGGCAAACAAGGCTAATGATAAGGAAAGCAATGATCTTTGACGGCACAGCCTTCTCATTCTGAACGTCTCTGAGGTCTCTACTTGGGATTTAAGCAGCTGGTTTAAAAAGTCTCGGCTGCGGCAAACTCTACAATTGTCTGCTGCATTTTCATTACTTTGTGCAAACTTCATCAAGTTATCATTGTTGAACTTACAACAGAAAAAAATACTGTAGTACTACTGAGATACATGAATATTTAAACACAGAAATTAATTACATAGGTATGTCCTCTTAGAACAGGGGTATGGGAACTGAACAGGAATTTGCTTTTGACTAGCTGATGTTGCACAGAGCTCATTTCAAAATCCCTTTTAACTAAGGGTGCATGTGGATGAGAAATTAACCAAGGTAAAGCTCTGTCTGTAGTATGAACATTTTGCTAAAATGATGTCTGGAAAAAAATGTAACAGAATTTGACTAAGCCCCCCTGCAAAGTAAAATGAGAACCATCTCAAAGAAATGCATGTAACATAACAGCAAGGGTTAGCAAAGGAGCACCAGGGGAGCAAGCAGATCACCTGAGATGTAAACAGACTTGCAGGACCACACCAACAAGATCAAACAGGGATAAGATAATCCCAGGTGAGTGGAAAGTATTGAGTGGATGCAAAGGCCCGGGGCCAGTGATGTGTGACAGTGCAGTACAGAGGTCAGACAGTCTGCTCATCCACTCAGTGCCCAAAACATGGAGAACTATGCTGAGAAGGCGGAGATACTGAATGCCTTCTTTGCTTCTGTCTTCAGTGAAAAAGCTCCCCCTCAGGAATCTGAGACCCTGGAGGTTAGTGAGAGGATCTGGGGAATGGAAGACCTCCCTTCTGTCAGGGAAGAGGTGGTCCGGGAGCGCCTAGGCAACACCAATGTTCACAAATCCATGGGATCCGATGGGATGCATCCACTGGAGCTGAGGGAGCTGGCAGAGGTGATTGCTGAACCGCTTTCTGTCATCTTTGAGAGGTCTTGGAGGGGGAGGTGCCTGAAGACTGGAAGATAGCCAACGTCACCCCGGTCTTCAAAATAGGCAAGAAGGAAGACCCAGGCAATTATAGGCCAGTCAGCCTCACCTCTGTCCCTGGAAAGGTGATGGAACAGCTTGTATTGGATGTCATCTCCAGACAACTGGAAGAAGAGGAGGTTATCAGGAGTAGCCAGCACGGGTTCACCAGGGGAAGGTCGTGCTTGACCAACCTGGTAGCCTTCTATGATGTTGTCTCTGGCTGGGTGGATGGGGGGAGAGCAGTGGATGTAGTCTACCTTGATTTCAGCAAGGCTTTTGATACTGTCCCCCACGACATCCTTATAACAAAGCTGAGGAAGTGTGGGATAGATGAGTGGACAGTGAGGTGGGTTGAGAACTGGCTGACTGGCAGAGCACAGAGGGTCGTTGTTGGTGGTGCAGAGTTTGGTTGGAGACCTGTAACCAGCGGTGTTCCTCAGGGGTCTGTGCTGGGTCCGGTCTTGTTCAACATCTTCATCAATGACCTTGATGAGAGGATAGTGGCCACCCTCAGCAAGTTTGCTGATGATACGAAGTTGGGAGGATTGGCTGACACGCCTGAAGGCCGTGCTGCCATTCAGCAAGACCTGGACAGGCTGGAGAGCTGGGCAGAAAAAAACCGGATGAGGTTTAACAAAAGCAAGCGTAGAGCCTTGCATCTGGGGAGGAATAATTGCATGCAGCGCTATGGGTTGGGGGATGACCTGCTGGAGGGGAGCTCTGCGGAAAGGGACCTGGGTGTCCTGGTGGACGACAGGTTGGCCATGAGCCAGCAGTGTGCCCTTGTGGCCGAAAAGGCCAATGGTATCCTGGGGTGCATTAAAAAGAGCGTGTCCAGCAGGTCGAAGGAGGTGATCCTTCCCCTCTACTCTGCCCTGGTGAGGCCTCATCTGGAACACTGCGTCGAGTTCTGGGCTCCCCAGTACAAAAAAGACAGGGATCTCTTGGAAAGAGTCCAGCGGAGGGCCACAAAGATGGTGAAGGGCCTGGAGCATCTCTCCTGTGAAGAAAGGCTGAGTGAACTGGGTCTGTTCAGCCTTGAGAAAAGGAGACTGAGAGGGGACCTGATCCAGGTCTGTAAGTATCTAAGGTGTGGGGGGCAGAATGGCGAGGCCGGACTGTTTTCAGTGGTGAGTGGAGACAGGACAAGGGGAAACGGCCGGAAACTGCAGCATAGGAAGTTCTGCACAAATGTGCGCAAGAACTTCTTTACAGTGAGGTGACGGAGCACTGGAACAGGCTGCCCAGGGAGGTGGTGGAGTCTCCTTCTCTGGAGATGTTCAAGAGCTGCCCGGATGCCTACCTGTGCGACCTGTTGTAGGGAACCTGCTTTGGCAGGGGGGTTGGACACAATGATCTCTGGAGGTCCCTTCCAACCCCTACCATTCTGTGATTCTGTGAACAACTTTCACATAAGATTACAGTACAGAGGACTAAAACAGTGGGCTTTGTTTTGAGGTGATAGCAGTGGGTAAACACACTTTGGGTCATTTGCACGAAGGAGGGGAGGACAGGTTATCATACAGCGGCAGGCTCGCACGTGGCCACCAAGCAGAAGCAAGCAGAAGCACGGCTCCCTGCTCACAGGCCCCACGTGCCAGAGCTGACTGACCGATAGGAGAAGCAAGCGGGAGTTGTTGATAAACCTCAGTGCTGCTTCTCAGAACAAACTGACCTGATTACAGACTGCCCTGCTCAAAACAGCACAAATCAGGAAGAAGCTGGCAGGCACCAGGAGCCCAGCTGTGTGTGGGCACCAGCTGGGCGTAGAGGAGGGATGGGGGCAATGGGGCTGGCCAGGGAGCAAGAGGAAGCTTGGGGTAACAGGGCCAAGGGGAGGAATGTGGAAGGGTTGGATGTATGTGTTATCTTTAAGTGGTTCTGAACAACGGCCTCGGGAAGAACAGAGACCGAAAAGAGATCTGCTGAGGAGATAAAGTATGTGTGTATACATAGATAGATCTTGGCATATTTGGAGAATATAGACATATAAATATGCATGCATTCAGACATAATATTTATGCATATTCATATATATTTATAAAGTGCATCGATAGAAACAGTCATTTTCAATAGAAATGAAACATGTGGTGGAAGTTTCCCCTCTCGTTTTTGGTTTCCTCCATTCCAAGGTGGGACCCCTGAGCTCTGCAGCAATGGATTCCTTAACACTGTTCCCACAGCTGTGGGCATACCAATGTCTGTGTGTCCCTCCAAGCTGCTCTGACAGGCTGACTACTGGACACAAGAAAAGTAATTGTTGGATGTGGAGTGCCAAAGAGAGTTTCATGATGTAGCAGCACTGTCCTTCAGTCACAGGGAGAATTTCCTTCTCATACACCCCCTGTTTTCCTGAACTGGAGAGATCCTCTCCCTTAGCGCTATCTCCAGCCCACGACACAGCAGTCAGTATCGCTCCCGCTGCTCTCTGTGCGCCCTCAGAACCTGCAGCAGAACGTTGGCTGAGGTCGGTCACCCTCTCGGCCTCGCTCACAGCCAGCACCATCCTACCCCACGGGAACCCACGCCGAGCGCTGCACGCAAGCTGGGCACAAGTCCGTCATTCACAATCCACTGCAATGGAAAAAAAAAAAATACGTAATAATAAATGGGAAGGAGATGGCTGGGGCTGGGGCGGGGGCCGGGCCCGCGGAGGCTCCGCCCCGGTGCTTTAAGCGGCTGCGGGACCGCGGCGCGCCGAAAGGTGCGGAGTGCAGCTCGTGGTAAGTAGCCGTGTGGGTCGGGTCCTGTCCGTCGACCGCCCCGGGTGCTTGTGCAGGGACACGAAGGAGGTCGGGGAGGGAGCCCTCATCTCTTTTTCACCCCCTCCTGCCGCTGACGGCCTCCGGCGGCACGCAGTTCGGCTTTCTAGCCTCAGTTCTGATGCTTGTTGCAGAGGGTGAGGCTGACCCGGGTGCGTGGGGAGCTAGCGGGGCGAAGCCGGGGGCACCGTGCTCTGCCGGGCAGCGCTTGGTATGTCCTGCTGAACGAACGCAGCTTTGGGCTGTTCGGCTCCGGGACGGGTGGCTGGAAATGCAATTTTGTGTACTATAAGGATAACCTCGATTCTTTAGTGTTTGTCTTGTGGCTGTTCTTGTATATAAGCTCTCTGCTAACAAACGCGCTGGAAAGGACGGGGCAGATGAAGTAACTGGCTGCGTGCAGAGCACCGGCTGGGTACTGCGGCCTCCTCTTGGCTGGGCACGAGCACCGCAGAAGCCAGGGGGTTCTTATCTCAGGAAAGTGGCTGCCAACACGCCTGCACTCTTAAGTCAGAGCTGCTTGTGCTGGCGATGAGATCACCTGGCTGCTTAATTACAGCTGCTGAGCTCCCTGGAGGCCTGCCTGGACTAGCCAAGAAGCCTTTGGCGAGCGGAGCTGCCTTTGGGCAGGGCGTGGGGCTGGGACCTGCTCCTTGTGGAGCCCGCTGTGCCCCATCACCAGCAGCTGGTGGGCAGCCACGCGTGCGTGTGTGCTGTCCTATGCCCACACTTCCCAGACATCGCTGCCGCGGGGCAGTCTTTGCTGCTGGCTAACTGAAAAGGTGCTGCTGTGAGCTGGCATGGGAACAGCATGGGGAGGATGAGTGGAAGTCTATTCTGTGGAAGAGCGCAAGGTTAGCATGAAGTACTGACTTCAGTTTCCTTTTGTTGTTTGTCTAACGAATTCCCAGCATCCTTATCAGGGTATTGGAGCCAGCTTCTGGGTGCTGGATCCTTCAAGACTCAGTCCTCCTGGGGAGGGGTAGAGGGGCCGCACTCCATGTTGCCGAATATTGCACGGGAAATGTGGGGTGAAGCTGGAAACCCGAGCCAGGTTTTCAGGTCTAGCATGTGTGGAAACCAGATAATGGTTTGTTAGCGGAGCGATTAAAATAGTTTAAGCTGAAGTAAATGCAGAAAGGGACACGAGAGTGGGGATGGTGAGAGGAAAAGGCAGAAGTAGTTCTTGAGCCAAATTCCTACCACTTCTACTTTGGAGAGTGTACAGAGTGGAAAGGAGTCTCCTCTCTGCTTTTTCCAGTTAATGGTCTCCTTTTGCAAAGCTTTGCACAGCCCATATTCCCTCTGACTGAGGACGCCGTCTGCCATGATTGATGTCAGCTGCTGTGCGGTAGCACGGCCAAACACTTGAATAAAAGAAATGGAATCTTAATTTTTAGACTGTGCGATTGTGCCAAGAATGACTGAGGCAAAGTGGTAAACGTCATAAAACTAATTTTATGAGCTCGGTCAGAGTATTAGTGCTAAACCACAAGCGGTAATGGTGTTAATCCTGTGAAAGCATTGAACAAAGGAATATCTCAGTAATTAGTGTCAGTGCTGTAAAAGGCACTGCTCAGCCATTGATGAAGTTTCCTAAGCCTCTGGTTAGGAATGTACCAGAGATGCCCCAATTCACTTTAATAAACTAATCTTATTTTCCCACATGCCGTAAATGGCTGCTTGCATATCTGGGACAAAGCTCTTTTATCAGACACTTGGCACTGGGTCATGCTTGGGAACCGTGCAGCTCTCACTCATACCCAAAACTGCTGACCCGGTCAGGGTGCTTGGCTGGAGCATGGATGAGGTGGGTCCCTTTGTTGTGGCTTAGCAGAGTTTGTGTTGGGATTTATGAACCTAAGGAGTTGGGTGCCCACGAGAACCAGGCTGTACACCAGGAGGGAGCAGTGCCACCAGGGGGGTGTGGCAAATAGCTCATAGCTTTGGTGGTGGCAGGGGGAGGAAGCCCCATAAAAGCTAAGGGTGCTCTGTGTTGGTGCTTCAGCCCAGGGCAGCTCATGAGACTTGCTGAGAAGGAGAGGGAGATCCCAGTCAAGCTACATGGAGGGAAAGCATGAGGAGGGGAGTGGGGCAAGTTAGGATGGGATGCTGTTGCTTCTGTCTTTGTGTAAGAGACTGCTGCTAGGGCTGCAGCTGGACGTGTCAAGGGTATCTGTCCCTCTTCACCTGGACCTGCTGCAGATCATGTGGGAGAGAGAGAGCTCTGCTGCTGCTTACAGCAGCTGCAGGCCCTCAGACACTTGCTTTTGGCTCCTGTACCTGTTTGTTAAAGCCGGTTCATGTAACAGTGATGGGTCTGTGGGAATCAGTCCTCCTTTAGCCCCTTTGAAGCCCAGGCATGGTCTCAGAGGAGTTCAGAATGCCCCTGCAGCCCCAGCGAGTGGTTCTCCAGTGGGCTGAGCTTTGGCTTGTGCTCCGTCCCAAGTGATGGGCCCCGCAGTAAAACAAAATGCTGTTGTTGGCACAATTGGTTTGCTTCCACCAGTGAGGAGCCTGGAGCTAATGAAGCATAGAAACTGAAATTACATCCATCTGGGGGGATGTTAGCTCTAAGTACGGTAAAACCCTTGTGCGTGAAAGTGTAATTTGTGCATATGCAGTTTACGTAGCTTTGAAAGCCTTGAGTATGGCCTGGGAATCATCTCATGGGCTCAGTGTCTGCTTTCCTCGCTGCTGGGCGGCAGCAGCCGCTGTTCCCTCTGGCCTGTCAGGTCCTTCGGCTCCGGCTGAGAAGCTGCTCTGAGGAAGCACAGGTTTTTAAACACTTGGTGAGATCCCAAGCTCGTGTCTGACAGCTGGATGCAGCAGGTTGTGTTTGAGGGAGCACCAAATCCCAGTGTGGAGGCAGGGCCATGAAGGGCACTGTGTCAGTGCAACTAATGAATCTCTCCTCCCCACAGCGCCGCCATGCCGAACTGGGGAGGTGGCAACAAATGTGGTGCCTGTGGCCGGACGGTCTACCATGCTGAGGAGGTGCAGTGTGACGGACGGAGCTTCCACCGCTGCTGCTTCCTCTGCAGTAAGTACTGCCCTCCTGGCCCACCAGAATCACCCCAGCAGAGCTCAGGCTTGCGGCAGTGAGGTGGTGGCCATCTCATGCTGGGCTGGACACTTGCAGGTGCACAGTGCCCAAGGGGAGCCTGTGCCATGTGCCTGCAGAACTGCTGTCCTACCTGCTCAGCACAGCGTGGGTGAGATGTGCCCAGGGCATTGCTGTGCTGTCAAAGCTTTGGCATGGCCGAAAGCCGAGGCTCTCTTGGCACAGAGGCCTGTGGCTTATTTCAGATGAAAGGAGTCCAAAGCACTGTTCTCCAGTCCAGCCAACGAGTCCACTGAGGCATTGAAAACAGCTTTCTCTGCTGAAAAGACTTCTGATTAGATGAAAGAAACAAAGGGTCGCTTTATGGTTTTGAACGCTTTGCAAACCAGCAGCCTGTCTGACCGAGTCAGAGAACTTTACCTTATTACAAACATGAAGTATTGTTTTGTCTTGTTTGCTTGTGCTCAGTGCCTGCAGACAGAAGTTGGGTTTAGCCTTCTCTATGAGCTGCTGCTGCAGCTGGGCCTCTGGGTCTGGTTTGCCATTAATCTGCATAAGGTCAGCATAGTGGGCTGGCATGGGAGCCTGGGCACACCTACACTCCTTTTCCTTTGCTCTACAGCAGCCACAAAAAAAAAAATCAGATGTCTCAACTGCCTCATTTTCAGCCTTTTATGGGAATTTCTATTAAAAGAAACCTGGAACTTACATTCAGACAATGGCTCTAGTGTGTCTGCCTCTGTGTTTGCTTTTGCCTAGTGGATAATTCTGCTGGGGTTAAAGTCTGCATGCTCTAACAAATGTGCATGAGTTGATTTACTTATTGGATATTTGTGTCTTATAAAAAGAGCCTTGGAGCTAATGAACACCATAAACAAAGGCCGCCATGTATTTTGAAGATCTTAAATTCTTTTTGAAGACAAAACTCGTAAGGTTTTCTTTATTTTACTCTTCCCAAATCCACATTCTTCATTGCAGCAAACTGTTGTTGCAGACTGAGAGCACATCAGTTGAGTCACAAAAGACGGCTTAAGAAGAGCAGGAAATAGTTCAGCGTTCAACTGTAACCTTGAGCAGGGTGCTTACGCTGTGCTGAAGTACGACTGCCAGAGAAGACAGGCCCCTCTAGTGACAGCTGTGAAACAGTACCAACTGTGCCCCAACCCAGCACTGGGCAGGAGGGTGGGCTGGGGACTCTCCTGCACAGATTTGCTCTGTACTATATGGCATCTGTCCGGGGAAACTGCTGACCGCTCTGCTGGTTTCTGAGCACGGCCATGGAAAGGTAGGAGGGCACAGAGCCCTTTACGAGGCTACGCATAATTCACCAATTCAAAAGACAACCTACGTCTAATCTCCAGTGGTCTCACAGCCTAATCAAAACATTCTGGACAAGGAAACCCCTGTCAACATTTCTTGCTTGACTTCAGGCTTACTGCATGTGCTGCTGGAAGTGGGCGCTCAATGGCGTTTAACTTTTTTCCCTCCAGTGGTCTGCCGGAAGAATTTGGACAGCACGACTGTCGCGATTCACGATGCTGAAGTTTACTGCAAATCTTGCTATGGAAAGAAGTACGGCCCAAAAGGTTACGGCTATGGGCAAGGGGCAGGCACTCTGAACATGGACAGGGGAGAGAGACTAGGCATCAAGCCTGAGAGGTGAGTTAACTAAGCCACAGCGTGCGTGAGCTGTGTTCTCCAGCAGCACTCACAGGCATCTTTCAGGCTGGATTTTGTCTAATTCGTGCCTCCTGGAACAGAAATGCTGCAAAATTCCCCAGTGTAACCAAGTGCAGGGCAGTTAGCCAACAATGCACAAACCTTCTATAGTGGCTCTGGGTAGGCCCTGTTAGGGCAGGTGTTGGCACAGGTGAGGATGTGAGAAGTGAGCTGCATGCAATGCAATAGGATGGGATTGCTGACCCACTGAAGGTTCTACAGGAGACATTGGCTGGTCGGCACCCTCTTGGTTTTGAGGATGCTGTCTTAAATAAGCTGCAAATGCAGCTGCTCAGCAGGTTTGTGCAGGGACGGAGTCAGGGGAGATGCAAATCTGGGGCTGTAAGAATGAGTTTTTAATTGGTAAATGGAGAACTGTTTGGGCTTAATTATAGCCAAACCGAATGGCTTATTAAACAGTAAACATTCCTAATCTGATTAAGTTCTTGCTATAAAGCAAAGCATGTGAAAAGCGCCTGAGCTATGCCTCACAGATGATTTTATGCAAGTTCCCAAACTGTTGCTTGACTTTGTCTAGAAGTCCTGCCAGAGCAAATCCAGAGATGCTAAATAGCTCTGTACTTAGGGTCACTGATCAGATCCAGATATGATCAGATGACAGAAATTTAACATAATTGTTTCTAGCTTGCTATAGCTAAAATAAATCTGTGTCCTGATACAGGCCTTGGTATCAGCATGCTTCTAGCAGTGAAAAGGGGAAGGGCCCTTGGAAAAGTATCTTTTCCAGTAGCTCCTTAGGGTCTTTTGAAGCTAGGAAAAAAAGAGAAAGCCTTGCTTGGTAAGCATCTCTTCAGTTTTGAAAAAGTATGGTATTCTGTTCTGTGTGTTGCATGGTTAGTGTTGTCGGGAAGAGCCAGAGCCCTTAAACTACAAAAACAAAATGTCCTTTTTCAGCACACCCTCTCCTCACCGACCCACCACAAACCCAAATACTTCAAAATTCGCTCAGAAGTTTGGAGGTGCAGAGAAATGTTCTCGGTGTGGGGATTCTGTTTATGCGGCGGAGAAAGTCATAGGTGCCGGAAAGGTAAGGGAATGTGACTTTTCTATCTATCTGCTGAATGAACTCCAAAGTAAGTGCAGTATGTTATGAAGGCTTCCTGGAGCGTGCTGTCCAGAACTGACCGTGGCACAGTCCTTAACACTGCATTTCTCAGAATTGGAAATGATCAAATCAATGTAGTCTTCAGTTTTTTGAACTTGAAATGGAAATGCTGGGTAATGAGCTCTCAACTTGTTTTTCAGAAGTAAAACTTCAGTACCTCCTTAAAGTACCGGAGCCCTCCAGATGAGGGAACGATGCTTTTTTTTCTTTCTCATAGAGCTCAGGAAGGGCTGAATGTTCAGCAGAACGGGCATGTTCTCTGCAAGCACCGTGTAGCACTGTGCGATGCATTCTGCCAGCTGTCTGGCTCACTATTCGATAGCTAAGATCAGAATTGATTAGGGCAAGCTTGGACCTCTCAAAACACTTCTTTAAGCAGGAAGCAGTGTGGAATTCAGGCCTTTGTGCCATCCAAAAATACAGACACTCCTAACGGGTTACTGGTGCGTGCACCCCGACTGGTTTTCATTGCACCAGTATAAGTAAACAATTCTGATGTAGTCATCTTTAGTGAACGCCTTTTTAAAAACAAACTGAGGCATTCTGTGTATTTAGACTGTCTTTTCCATTTCCCCCCCAGCCATGGCACAAGAACTGCTTCCGATGTGCCAAGTGTGGGAAAAGTCTAGAATCTACAACCCTAACTGAAAAAGAGGGAGAAATCTACTGTAAAGGTGAGAAAAGAAACAAGATGATTGTTTAATCCTAGAATCATAGAACAGTTTGGGTTGGAGGGGACCTTTGAGATCACCTATTCTCACCCCCCCACTATAGGCAGGAACATCTCCCTCTAGGCCAGGTTACTTGCAGCCCCATCCTTGAATGCTTCCAGGGAGGAGCATCCACAACCTCTCTGGGCTACCTGTTGCAGTATCTCACCACCCTCACAGTAAAGAATTTCTTCCTGATATCTAGTCTAAATCTATCTTTTTCCAGTTTAAAGCCATTTCCCTTCATCCTGTTGCTACCTGCCCTTACAAAAAGTTCCTCCCCAGCCTTCCTGTAGGCCCCCTTCAGGTATTTGGAAGGTCACTATAAGGTTTTCTTGAAGCCTTCTCCAGTTTGAAGAGCCCCAGCTCTCTGTCTGTCCTCGTACGGGAGGTGCTCCAGCCCTCTGATTATCTTTGTGGCCCTTCTCTGGACCCACTCCAGCAGTTTGACCTCCTGGTGTTGGGGCTCCCAGAACTGGATGCTGTACTCCAAGTAGGGTACTGTCCTCATGAGAGCAAGAGTAAAGGGGCAGAATCACCTGCGTTGACCTGCTGCTCACACATCTGGTAATGTAGTGCAAGGACAGAGACAGAATTTATTCCTGTTTCAAGAAACTTCTGGGCTTCTGTCAAGATGATAGAAATGGTCTGTAGGTCACAGCAGCAGAGCTGAGCACTGTGCTAGTTCTGAGTCTGCTAATGTGGCATATGTATGGAAAACCTTGCTGGATCTGGACATACGTAGCTGTGTAGTAGCAGCCCATGCCCTTAGACAGGTCAAGGAACAAAGCAGAGGATGGGCTTTGTAACAGTCACCATGCCATACCTCCTGTGACACCATGGGTGATGCACACCATGGCTCGGTGACAGCGTGCTTTGATGTGTACTCAGTCACAGAGCTGGCGTGTGAAATGCTTTCACTGAGCATCACCTAAATCAGGAGCTACCCTGATGAAAGAGATGTGGGTGTTCAGCCATGCCATTTACCCAGAAGAGGTTGTTAGGGGTTGCTTTGTATTCCAGTGTTCTGATAAAGAAAGTGGCCAAGTGGCTTAACCTTGAAAAACGCAGCTCTTCATGAACAGCTCAGAAGCCTCAGCTCTTATCAGCACCTCTCTCTTGCAGGCTGTTACGCAAAGAACTTCGGCCCTAAAGGATTTGGCTATGGTCAGGGAGCAGGAGCCCTCGTTCATGCCCAGTGATGGAGCACAGCACAGCCTGCACAGCTCTGCACAGATTCAGCTAAAGGAGTTTCCAAAATGTTACTAACTACTGTGAGACAGATGCTAGTTGACTGTAGTGTTTGGGCCATACTTTTAGATGGTTTTTTTTGAAGCACTGCTTTCTTCCTTGCTTTATGTACCACACTTTTCATACTGTGTATCAATTCAATAAAGCTTTGCTTGTTGACATATCTTAAAGTCAAATGTTATCTTGCTGTCAGTTGTGAAAAGGTTGTTACATATACTGTTACTGGGGTGCTTTGGGGGGAGCTGGATAGAGAGACAACTGCTTCACTGAGAGCCTAGCAGGACTGGAAGCTGCAGAGGTGAGTAACCACCTCACTACCACAGGGATGCAACAGCAGGACAGGACATTCATCTGCTGCTGCTGCAAGCAGTGGTGTAGAGCTGAGTGTGCTGAATTTAACTGGCTGTACACGTAAGTGAGCAGTTGTCCCTGCCCTGGATTCACTATGGAGGAGAAAGCAATCCTTGCTCACCAGAACCTTCTGTGGGATTACACCTGCCTTGGTACTGAGTTCTTGTTACGTACAGGGTTTGCATGGTTGCAAAGCACTAACAGGCACAGATGAGTACCACCCCTACCCCTGATGACATGCTGGACAAACATGTGAAACACAATGTTAAGAGAAGCTTTTGACCTTTTTCCAGTAGTTTTACAGTCCTCCATTCCCTCAGGCCAGAGGAGGATTGTTCGGGGTCTGCAGCTGCGGTGCCACAACAGAACAGTTCTGCCTTCAGGCACTGGGGTAGACAGTGGGACATGGGGGTCAAGCTGGCTGGGCGAAGAGCACAGACAAATAAATGTGTCACACGTAGCCTAGATTTAGTGTGATCATTCCAGTTGTGTGAAGGCCCCTGCAGTCAGCCAGGGTCTTTGAATCTGCTAAATGTCATAATAGGATTTGCTGAAGGCTTACTGAAATTACTTTGTGCTGTTGTCACATCTTAAGTGAAAAGCTCCCAGAAGAGATGGGCTACTCCTAGGGGCTGGAGCATCTCCCACTGATATTGCTAGGCTTGAGTTGACAGCACCTCAACTTTCACTTCTTGTAGAGCAAGTAGGGGTCACTTCCTCAACAGAAGCCCCGGGTCCAGCCCAACACAGCAGCCTTATGTGAGAATGAGGTACTAAAACTGAGGCAGAAGTCACTCAGGCTGAGGGAAGCTGCCTCCTGTTCCTGCAAGGAATCAGCAGTAGTAGAAATAGCTTTGCTGTTTTTGTTTTTAAAAACATCTGCGTTCCTTGAGCACCAGAAACACTTTCACTGGTGTGCTCAGGATCCTCATCCAGGCTGCCATCATTACATCCCTTCACAAACTTTCTGCCTACTGGAGGGAAGAAATGCTGAGGATCTGGGAATCAGCTCCTTATCCCACACTCTGTACCTCAGGAGCACACCTGAGCTGCAGCAGGTGACAGGTTGCAGGAGGAGCTTCTTCCCATCCCTTCCAGTGCAGAATAGACTCCTGCACAGCAAGGAGGTCAGTCAGGTGCAGACTCGACTTACAGCACTTACAGCCCAAGCAGTGGTTGGGGCAGATGTGGGACATTGTTTCTCTTCTCATCCTGCCCAACAGAAGTTGTTACAGAAAAGATGAGAGCTGAAACCGTCTGGTTTTGGGAGCCGGCTGATACCTTTGGGGAAAAAAAAGCCTTTACAGAGTGAGTTCATGCAGACTAGGAATGCTGCAATAAAATGGTAATCGTGTGTGAGCTTGGGCTCAGGCAGAGGTTCAAGCAGCGTTTACCGCTCCAGTCTGAGGTAGTGCAGCAGCGCCAGCCAACTGCCTGATTAGAAAAATATGTCCTAGTCAAAGTAATCCACAAAGAGAATTTTGTACGAGTTAGGGAGGAACAATGTGGATACGAGGAAAAGCAGACAGGCAGATCAAAATGTGAGCCAAGAGCTCGCATGGCTCACACACAGGGAAAGATTACAACTGAGAAAGACACCAGTAGTGTACAGGCAGCACACGTTGGGGTAGCAGAGAGAGCACAAGCACCAGTGCAAGCCTTTGGTCCTTCATAGTGAAGAATTCAATACTCTTCTGCTACAAAGTGATTTTTTTCCTTTGCTGACTTGACACTCGTGCAGGAAGGCTCCTGCGCCTCCAGCCCTCCCAACCACACCAAAGGCTCACACCTCCACCGCCATCACCGGCCTCCAGGGAGTCTGCCCTTGTGCTAACCACAGAGCTGAGAAGCTGGCCTCTGGGAAAAGGGGAAGAAGGCCATTACACAACAGAAAAAAAAAAGTTGAAATAAACTTTCAGAGTGACTCAAAATGAATTCCTGTAGTTAAATCGTAACTTATCCTAAGTTTTTATATAAGCTCCTACCAGACTTTTGCATTACTATATACAGTAGTCACAAGAAACTGCTTTCAGTGCACAAACTCAGGGCCCTTTAGAAAGACATTCTTAAGTAAATTCTTGTAAATTACGACCATTTAATAGCATATAAGCCATTGCTCCTAAATGAAATTTTACTTAGTGCAGGTTTTGTCATTGTAGCCATCATGTTCAGATGCCACCATCTCAAATGTGTAGAGTGTCTCACAACTGAGGACAGAGCTACTCTTCACATGCGAATTTGAGAGCTAACAACAAAATGAGAGAAAAAAAATTGATCAAACTTCCTAAATACATTTATGCTCACACTTATACTGGAAAAAAAAACAAACAATGTTTGGTCACCGTGTGCAGGCCAAAAATACAGCACAAAATCTACTTATTTCAGAAATCTCTACAAGCTCTTTCCACTTAGCTCAGTAAAGGCTATGCTGTGTGTTCTTCCTAAAATCCTGCAGTACTGCTAAGACTTTCATTGTCTTTGTTCTCTTTATTTCTAACCAAGCGCAGGGAGGTGTGCAGCAGCATCACTGCTTCAGCTGACGTCTGTGTGCACGGCCTGCTTTAGTGAGATGAGTTTGAAAAGGCCTCTCCTCCTCACCAGACCCCAGTTTCATAAGGTCATTTCACAGCTGAGGTTTTTTCAGAGTGACCAAACAGAGCATCAAAAGCATTTCAGAGAATACAGTGCACAGAGTACTGCAACTAAGATCGGAACCATAACTGGAAAACACTGACACTATGCTGTCTGCCTTATTGATACTTAGGAAAAAAAGACACTGAAGGGGAAATAATGAACTGATGCTTTCTGCCTCAGCTCTAGACAGCAGCTCTGCCTGTCACTGACCAGCAACAAACAGTCCATCCAGATACCTGCGATAGATGTGGCTCCCTTGCAAACAGTTGCAAGAAGAAGGAAGACTAATTCCAGATGCAAACTGCATCTCCCTCCTGCACCACGCAGAGGCTGAGGGAAAGGCAGAGCAGTGCTCAATGCAGCCTTTGCAGCCGAAGAGTCCCCTGTCAGGCACAAGGTTTCCCCCCACTTCAAAGTAACTTGGACTGGGCCAGCTCAAACTTAGGAGCCGAATCCATCCCCAACAGCTGAGGACACAAAGACAACTACAGTAGCACTTTTCTGTAGCCTTGTTACATGATGGAAGTGCTTCCTCTCAGTGACGTCCATTTCCAGAAAGACTTCTGAGAATGGACAAAGCCAGTGCTGTGCATAACCACACCAGAAGTCAAGACAAACACTGCATCTAAGAGTCAATATTTATTTGATTAATAACTTACAAAATTTAACAGATTTAATTTATGTAAGGAGAGCTAATTTATTAAACATTTTACAGATTTTATTGTTCACAATGTAATACATCAAGATCTTGACAGTATTAAAATAATACTTGGCACAGTTATAAATAAAGAATATACAAAAAAATCCATAGCTTAAAATGCAGTGATGCTGTTTTACACATTAATTAAAAAAAAATAATCTGGTGGACATCAAAGAATACAGAAACCTGCAAACGAACAGCACATGTTTAGGGCCAAGACAAAATTCCCATTTATTCTACCTGGATCAGATCAAGCTGGTCTGATCTGCTGTTGGTCTGGATGAGCTTCATCGAGTTTCAGAAGCAGTGCAGTTTTGGTTCAACAAATGAATTGCAAGTTTGATAACTTGACAGAAAAATGCTGCATAGTTGGCTCCCCCCGCTGCGCAATTTTATGACTCCTGATCCAAAAATTCAGTGTTACTCAAGACAAGTCAGTCTGCACTGGAAACTTCACGTCCCAAAGCCACACACAGGTTAATATTAATAACAATCAATATTGCTCCAATTCTATAGGCCTTCACAAAACCGTCACAGAGAGTTCTTACCAAGTGAAAAGTGCAGAATTCACCACGTATTACCAAAGATCACCTTCTCTGCAAACTTTTTAAAAGGACTGCGTGACAATCCATGGCAGTTAATGCTACTGGACAACGAAAACCAAAACCTGTACCACATGCTGAACCGCTCTTCTGGTGCGAGGCGGCTTTCAACAAAGCGGACTTCAGTTCTTCAAGTCAACCAACCCCAACAGAAATGTGAGAAGTGAACAAGTATGCAGAACATTACCGATAAATAAATAAATGACGTTGCAAAGTCTTCAAGCTTTGTTTCGAGATTACGAAAAAAGATGAGGAACTGCTAGCAACTGTTTTCACTGAAATGGAATTGGGATTACAATTTTGTCTGACAAGAACAGCAAAGCTTCTTGCCTCCCCTGTACCCACACCTCTCCATCCAAACTGTGTCCACGATGATGGTGTTTGTTCCAGTATCAAACATTCAAGTACTTTAATGCTGCACTTCTGTAAATCCTGATATCTGGTACTTGCAAACTAAGCGTGTGTCTCGAGATCCACAAACTACTACAGAAAAAAAAATGTTTACTTGCAAATACTGAACATCAACTATTTACAGTTTCACTGCTCCTCTTACTAAGGCAAGGGGCGGGAATACCACTAGATTGCTTTATTACCTGTAATCTGCGTCTTACAGAAAACGCTAATTTTGCCAAGCATCAAACATGCAGTGAATTTGCAGGGCGTAACGCCTATTAACAGCAATATTTAACATCACTAAAAGCTCATTAGATATCTTCCTATACTTTTTGGTTGAATAAAATGAAAATGAGCAGCTTTAAATATACTAAACACACACTCACAGAGAGAAAACTATTTGATAAATTATTTATGTACAGATACACATTCTTTACACTGGTCTCAGACATCGGCTTTCAGGTCCCCTCCCCAGACTCCCCTCACAGGATTCTCGAACCACTAGGTTGCTACAGCACTTAGAAAAGAACTAACCTGATTCTCAGTCTCTCTGTAAACAATAGTTAAGGAAGCAGTGAACAATTCACTATGAGTATATGAAAACACCATAACAAAAATCAGTGCATCACATTCAAGAAAAGCCCCCCTGGAATGCCATTTCAGTTGATTCCTTACCTTCCAGACATTTCTGTAGCATGAGAACTTAAAAACACTACGGGTGATTCCCACTTGCCAGTACACCACCTTCTTCAGAATGTTGCAATACATTTTCTATGTGCGTGTGTTATTTTGGAGATATGCTTTTTTTTGTTGTTTTTGTTTTTGTTTTTTTTTCTTTTTAAAGTTTGGTTTCCATTATTTTACGCCCGTACAAAAGAATCATTTCAGATGACTGTGGCTTCTTCTGCATTTGCAGCTGATTTGAAACTATTTTACTTTATATTTTTATAACTGAGATTTTTGTTTTCACATCTTTGGTTTCCCCCATGCAACTACTCTTCGAACACATTTGCAGCCACATTACATTGTGCTGTCTGGGGACCAAAGCCAGTACTGAAGCACTGCTAGTTTGTGAAACGTTTATCCATTTACTTCAAAGATAATGATTTTCTACTTTTTTGTTTCTTGAACATTATATAGTGTAACCTACTTCTGCAGGTGCATCATGCATTTAAGCACGGGTTCAACTTTGACAGAAGAGCTTTCCTTATTTGTGCAATCTTTTATTTCAGACTATACAATCTCAGAACAGGGCTTCCACAAGTATTTAGTTGTACCAGTAAACGGTGACAATAATAATCACCAAAAAATGTGGGCAATGTATTTTTTTCTTAGCATTACCAGATGTGCATTACTGCTATAACTGAACATTACAGGGGATCCCCGCCACGTGATGTTTATCACAGTATTGAAAAGCACATTTTTCAATGTACATAATACTACAGAAAATCTGTAATTAAAAACAAAAAAAAAAAAGTCACATTACAGGAACTACGCCAAAGCAATCAGTGAACTTTGCGCCATGAAATTTAGCTTTATATTCTAGATTCTCATTTCAGTGGAATTATTCATATTGGGAAATGAATTTTTCTGCTCAGCACAACATAACTACTTATGTCAATACTTCAATAATGTCATGCTCCACTGTGAAAGATCTTAAATAAAAAAACCAGCAACAAATACTGTGAATATGCTGTTGCGAATAATTCTCATGTTAAGAACTGTTAAAATCCCTTTTTGATCTTCCTCCTCTTCCTTATCAGGTTTGGCAGTTTATTCTGTCCATTTTTACTTTTGTTAATAAAATTCTGATGAAGAGAAGGTACCTTAAGATTCATCACCAGCCCTACACATAGCATGCTACTCTTCAAGGGATGTGGTTTCGAGAGAGAGAGAAAGAAAAATTTCAGGCACCACTCAGATATGATATGCTCACAGGATGAAGGTGGTGCTACACCAGCTGGTAGCCTGATCCTGACGTTTGGTCGTATTCAATCGTATACTGCCTCGTCCAGTCCACGATAACAGGCCGAAAAAGACCACAGCATCTGAATTCAAAGAAGTCTATAATGTTCCTTATACAACCATGGCTAAAAACAGAACAGAAATACGTGTGAGTAACAGCAAAGCTCTTCTAACAAAGTACGTTGTTTTTTCTTTGTACACGTTCAGTTTCTCACCCTAAGTTCCCAACTGCACAGAACCAATTCAGATAAAAATTGGCTTAGTGCTTGCTGATGGAACAAGCTCTAAAATAAGTCATTATACTGATGAATTTTTGTCCTTGGACACAATCATGACACTACATTTCCTTCGCTACCTGCTCTCTTATTCCTTCAGCTATCCACTGTTCTTACCCAGAATCACTTCTATCTTTCCTAGTACTTATTTCTGTCATACCTAATTCACAGCTGTGGGTCTAAGATCAATTAAGTTCCTAGACAACACAAAATTAAGGAAGCATTAAGGAAGTAGATGACATGTTCAAGGGCTTTCTGCTGCTGAATTAGTTCACCATCATATGTTTAAGATGCATGCATCAGAACTCCAACACTTTTTTTTTAGTAACTGCACACAGGCTGAATATGTTCATGATTTTCTGGAAGAGAAGCCTATGTAATAACACACCAGAAAAGGTCAAAACAACAAAATGACCACTCCTTCATTTGACAGGTGATGGCAATTAGTTATTTTAGATACATGGTGTTAATTTTTATGAGTCCTTTTTATAATAGCAGCTGTTCCACCAAATATGGTTTGTGAATTGGATATCAATATAGGGATAAAAACAGTTTTTTTCCTATCCTGCCCACTGCTCTGTGTTCTTTTTTCAGAAAATGCAATTACCTGGTTTTGCTACAACTTTTTTCTATGGGAAGATGTCAACTATAGAGAGGTGCTTGTCTTTTTCTCAATTAAGGTTTTATATGTAAAGATATTAAAAGAATCATACAAACTTCTATTCCAGCACAAAAATCAAACTACATACAACTAGGACTTCTACCTGCTCTTCCTTCAGGTACTCTCTGAAAGAGCAGCAGCTCCCACAGAACTGACAGCATTCACTGCAGGATGAAATGTGCTTCTGCCCTTTCTCTGCTCCTTCATAATATGTCCTCAACCCACCAATATTCCAGCTTCACGCCTTCATTTATTTCCTGCTTTGATCTACAAGCTTGTCCATTCTGCCTTATTCCCCTCCTACAAGAGCAAACATCCCAGTGCTACACCATCCTGTAGCTCTCCTCTCTTAGCTTGCACTCTTCTCACTACAGAAACTAGAACCTCACTATACTCTACTCTTCACGATAATGAAAAGCCTGTCTCTTACCTACACAACATCCACTTCAGCTCCTGGGACATCCTGCACCCCTCCCCAGCAGTATTTAGCTATGTTCCGTTTCAAAAAGCTGCACAATTCAAACATGAGGAACAACACAAGTGAGAAATGCACGTTTACGCTTGAAAACTTACTTGAATGGGCTTTCAATAGATGTGGTTGTAACTTTAAAGTGCTTGTATCGTCTTGCATTCATTCTTTCATTTGTAGTGATTCCTAAGCAAGATATCTGAAGACAAAAAAAATAAAGTAAGCAATCTAGCCAACATAAAAACAGGCAAACAAGCCCTGTGTCAGACAGGCAGAAAAATAATTTTATTTTTTTTTTTTTTTTTTTTTTTTTTTTTTTACATTTGTTCCTTTGAAGAACAATTTTTGTCCTGCTGAAACTGCTGGATCCCAACATAAAATGCCATACATCCGTTGTACCAGATTGTGCAAAATATTTAAGAGTGATCAGAAATAAATCATGATCACTGAACAAACTGTGCCTTGCTAGTTCACAGGGTAGAGATGCTGTTATTAATCACCAACTGAAGTGCACTGTAAATAACAGATTCGGGAGTTAGTGTATACAGCATTTGAATCACTTTCTTTTCCTCCTGACATTCTCATAATAGTATGGTATTATGACAGTGCTGTATTTCCCTCTCATTTAAAACTTTGTAGCAAACTTTTCTGTCATTAAGACAAAAAGTTGACTAGAAAAAGGGTTTTTTTTGTTTGTTTGTTTCAAACCACAGTCGTTTGGCTAAAAAGAATACAATTTTATGTAATAACTTTCCAACTACTTCAGCCTAACAGGGTACATATAAAACTGCAGTTTACTGCAATGTGGTGTAATTGGAAACAGAACTGTGAGAAATCCTTTAATAGTCTACAGCAAGATAAAATCTTATAATTCCCAGTGGAATATCAAATCAACTCTGCTACATGTTACAAAAACATGAACACTGAGAAAATTAAACTTGGGCTTGCTTGCCTCATTTGGATTTACTTGTCTCAAGCATTTTTCTCTCCCTCCATGAAACCCAGTGGAGTTTCATTTCCATATATATAAATGAGGTGTTAATGGCCAACTTTTGAAGTTGAAGTACAGTTTTTTAATTACTTTTCTTTCATACGTAGTACTTTGGCAGGAGTCTCAGCCAGTTCAATATAAAGGGCAAGTAAAAACTTGATAATGGAGGGAAAAAACAAGGAGCAATAGCAGAGACTGTGTAGCTGCACAGCCAAAGAAATAATCTGGAGAATAATTTCATCAATTCCTATGTCAGACTGGACAGAAAGATCTGTCAAACAAGATCCTAAGTTTTCTAAGTGCAACACTGTATTAACATGAGTATGTTTTTTATTTTATTTTCCCAGGATTAATAAATAAGTGCTAAGACTACGTTGCCTAATTACACTAAAGATACAAAATACAATGCAATGTGTTTTTCCAAGTGTTGCATAATTCAAAGATTCATCTGCACACAGATGATATTCACAAGGATTCCCAACATGGAGCTCAGTGGGTCACGACAAATATGACAGAAGGCTCTCTGCAAAGTTACACACTCATCTCATTTGCTACAGAAGTCTTGTGGTTCAAACTGGCTTGAAAGCCACATGAAATGACATGGTTTTTGCTCATTTGTTTTTCTAAGGGTCTTTTGCTGGTCAAGACAAATGTCACATACACAAGATTCTGAAATTGGCATATATTGTTAATAAACATTCAACAGAAAGGAGGAGAAAACCCCAATTTCCTAAGAAATTGTACTTAAGTTTTAGAGTGTGATTTTTATTTCCAGGATCTGTGGACAGATCAAATCAGTGTCTGGCTGCTCATTAATGACAAGTAATATTGAAAGGCTTCCAGCATGACTTGTCTTTCATTAAAAGGGATACAGAAAAAAATGGGTTTGGTCAGATTACAGTAAAGTCATGTGATGATGAATCACCCTGAAGCAGTTTAAGAAATTACTGCATCCCATTTGAAGTTACCACCCAGCTAATGACATACTGCATTATTCCTACTTCTACCCACAGATTTTATCCTCTAGGCTTCTATTAGTCTTTATTGCCTTTCTCTGGTCTATTTTGCCTTTTTGTCATTCTGAGAATGGAAAGTGGGAGGTAAGTATTTTAATCCCTTGCACAAAATAAAAGAAGTGCAAATGAATGAGAAGCGAGTGATGCCTTCTATTATGCAGAGACAACAGATGCCTCCCTCCTTCAGCTGTGGCTGAGACTGAGCACTTGGTCTTGCATAATGAACATGAACATTTAATCAACAACTATCCGATATACCTATGCAGTCCCAAATGAAATGCCCTTCCATACCTGATACATCTGACACATGAGTAACACAGCCACCCACATGAAGTGAAAAACACTGTTTAGAAACATCCAAAACATCCAAGGAGAACAGGTAGCGATCTGTGTAATATAGGTCCAAAATCCATCCTTTGCATAACTTGTCTCACAGTGGAAACCCCAGTCTGAGAAAAAAAGAAAGCAACAAACACCATAGAGAAGATTTAAGATATGTTTACTATACATCAATGTAAACCTCACATCAGAACGCGTTACATGGAATATGAAAACAGCAGTGTACCAAAAGAGTTTTACTTGTTCTGGCTTCCTTTTCCAAATCACTGAATATATGACATAGACACACACATGGTTGTGAGGAAGACAAAAAAAACAGGACAAGAAAAGATCTTTTAAGTTAAATTAACATGGGAAATGATTAATATGCAGTTCAAGTCCAGCATAAAGAATATAAAAAACTCTGATAAGGCAAAACCCTGTAGAAATCCATACTGGGAGATGAAGTATTTATAAGTAATTAAAAACAAAACAAACAAACCCCCCACATCTACTCACAAGAGATGCATCCATAAATCATCCAGCAGATCATAAACAGCAGGAAGAACAAGTATCCCATAAAATAGCGATGATTCCCTGCTCCTAAAGTTGCACAAAAACAACAGAGATCAAATTATTCCACTTTCAAAAGACAAAACACATCAGGAAGCTTAACTTCCTATTATAGGCATCCTCTCTCATGAGTTAACACAATTATTAATATGCAATATTTAGAACAATGTCGTTAACAGCTTTACAGAACCCAGAACAATGAGGAATTACACATCAGTATGCAATTTTCTTCAGAATGACAGTAGAAAAAAAATCAGACTGCAGAGTTCTTAAAATGAACGGGAATATGAAAAAATACACCATCTCTGACGAGAACAAATTAACTCAAAGCTTAGCTTCATCAAGTGAGTTTAAGCCCAACCAAAACATATAGCACAAGTCAGATAAAAACTTCAGACAAGGCCTAATTAACTGGCTAACATAATGAACGGCACAAAAACAAGTACAACATTTTAACTGGAGTTAAAAACTAGAAAAATCAGTTTTAAAAAGAACGCACTATTGTAAATGTTAGTACAGCTAAGATGATGTCTCTTACACAAGCAGGTCCTAATTCTGAAGGACTCAACCTTCCATCTATAAAATACGTCCACTGCTTTAACCTCCTAACAGCACTAGGCTGTAAGTTAAACCCACAAAGACTGTAATGGGCTACAAAGATTTGGCTGTCATCATCTACAAGCACAATATTTACTTCATTATATCAGATGTTTTGCCTGCTAAATAAAGAGCATCCTCTGGAGGCAGAAAATAATCAAGTGCTTTCTGCAAGCAAACTGAATGACTATACATAAAAAAGAGATGAGGAAAAACACCCATAAACGCAAGCTAGACTGACTACAAGACATTTCCTTGAAAATCAAACAAGTTCCTTTGGATGTAAAGTACGCTGCAATGTTGCCTTCAATCAACTAAGAGTATATAAGGAGGAGTGTTGGGAATGCCCGTAAGGTACTACTTCCACTTTTGGAACTGCTTGGTTTCATAAAAACAAATTCAGAAACAGGAAGTTAAATGGTCAGACCAAGAGGCCCAACTGATAGGTATTCAATGAAATGTTCCATTCAGCAACATCTCAGTTCTATGGCAGCACAACTCATGTCATAACAGTAGAAGAAAAAGTTTGGTTATCGCTTCTTCCGTGCTGTTTTTTGAAAACTACATTTCTGTTACAAGTCCACAGTTTGCATTTGAAATGGCATTTGCTTAACTGTATTAGTTAATAACCACCTGTGAAACACGTGTATTGTCATTCTGATATTCCACTAGAAAGACAGCTACAATCAATCACCGTCAGAGACCCGCTCACAACATGCAACATTAATGACATTGTTGCAGATATGCTAAAGATAATTTTTCCTTACTGCCAAACTTTTTTTTTTTTGAAGCCTGTCCTTCTTTTCATCTGTTTGCATAGCAAACAAAGCCCAAAGAGTTTATTTTTAGAGTGTCTGTACACACTCTTTCCTCAACCTTATCTTTAGTAAAATTCTTGTCCTTTCGACACATTTCAAGACTATACAAAACATTTCCAAATTTAACCTTTCCATCACAATTCATGTTTCCCTATTTGGGAAACATGCCATGAATGCAGTTTTAAGAATGGATTCTGTTTTGTAATCCTGTGCTCATAGTCACCATCTATGAACTGGAGGCAGAAAAGCCATATAAGGTCATTAGACCATCATTCCCTTCTCATGGTGTGACTTTTTTTTTTCCCCAGCATATTTTCCAGTTTCCTAATGTTTACTTTTATCAACAGTTATCCTGATTTGTTCAAGACCAAGAAGATTCTGTTTTTTCATCTACTGTTTCTAGGGGGGGGGGAAAAAAAAAACAACAACAAATCACCACCACCACTCTAAAAAGAACCCCCCAAAAAACACCAAGAAAAAGTCCATTACATTACCTCTCTCTAACCCAATCCTGCTACACACGTACTCTCTCATTACTCACAAACTAAGAGGCCTCTTTTTTCCTTTCCCACCCAATCTTTCTGCTTTTCAAATTACTGGTTAAAACTCTGGATCTTTCTGTCCCATTGACAAGTTCTTCTCAGCACTCTCACAAAACAAATACCAAACTGTCATCAGCAGCGTCTGCAAAATCTGAGCTTGTGCCCACTCTGCCTTTTTGCTGGTGTTCATTAATGATTTCTTAGTTCTTCACTGTAAAACATCTAAAATATAAATCAAAAGTAACTCACAGAGCGACAATAGCAGTAAATGAAAAATATGGAAAAAATTGTTCCATAGAATGGAACAACCCGAGCCCATCTCCATGAGATCTTAGTGTTTTGTTAACAATTCAAATGTCAGCACTGCCCCGTCCCTTAAGAACAGTCAAACTACAGTGACTATCTATTATTATTAATACTTGAGGGGACTACAGTGAAACTCCTGTTAATGAATCCAGGTCCTAATTCCTTCCCAAGATTAAAGTTATCTCCACTCATGTCTTTAAAAAAGTAAATAAATGAAGCAATTATATTTATTTTCTCACTCTGACACCCCTGCATAATAATGGCTTTCGAGTAAGTTTTTCAAGAAGAAAGACAGGGAATTGCAGCATTTAGAGACTTGATTCCTGTTCTGTATCAGTTCTCTATATTACCACTAGGGAGAAAAAATGAATTTATTCTGGGAATTACAGGGTGGAAGGTGTGAGGGGGTCAAGAAAAGAAATATCTCAGTAGTAAGCCATTCTGTATCTGTACTGCAATTGCATTTTTTAATATGTACACTTTCCCACTAGAAAATTCTTAGGAAAGATCAAAAAATTTATATTAGGCAAATGGATAAGCAGTCAGTGGTGGAATCAGTAGATGTTCTTAGTGTAGAAAGGATTAAAAGCTTAACTAACCTTTTAAATTATCAGAATTTAAGTTAGTATAAATAAACATACAAGAAACTGAACTAGACAGAAAACAATTTTGAGTCTGGGTATACAACAGACACTACAGGTAAAAATAAGACATCGAATCAGATGTAGAAAGAAAAATTAAGACCAACATTAAAAATTATCTTCCTTCTACCAAAAGTCCTCTACGGTTTTTCTGCCAACTCACTTCCACCATGAAAGAAGAACAGGCCAAATCCCATACAACACACAGGATCATTTCCAGAAGGTTTTGCCTTCTTGATCTATTACAGATTTCAACAGATTACTTACCTACACAATTGCCCACCCATGGGCAGTGGTGATCAAACTTTGCTATACATCGATTGCATACACCACAGTGTTTAGACCTCACTGGCTTCCGTATCTGAAATGTTTATTAACATTTGTTAACAACACCAAAAGAACAGTTGAATGCAAAATAACTTATTTTGTTAACTCCCCAGATAGCTTCAATTTTTAACTCAATCTTAGCTATCAGTCTTAAACCTACATGTTATTTAACACAAACACACAGACTGCAACCTTAATTTTCTTACATAAAGGATTTTTTTTCCCCCCAAAGTTCTTCTATCCCCTCCAGCTCGAGCTTTGTACAGCAACCAGTTTCATTTCAGCTTTTCAGCAATGAATGTACAGAACGAGTTCCAGTTCCACGATTCTGTCAGCAGTATTCATAATGAAGCCCTAAACTGTTCTGCTTATTTTCTAAAGACAGGAATGCTATTCAGCAACTGCAACTCAAAACTCTCGATTACTCTCAACTATTTTTTTCAAGTCCGTGTTTTGAAAGAAATATAAAATAGCAACGAAGAAAAAAGATCTGATATTAACTATTTGGAGACATACACAGATACACACACAATTTTAAGTTGCTGCCTTTGTCTATCATATTCCAAATTTGATTTTAAGACTATACATCATTCATGTTCTACACAGCTCAGATCATTAAAGCGCAATACTGACTGCCCTGATAATTAGGAAGTTGCCTTTTTTAAAAAAGAAACACATTCATTTACCATGAATACTTTCCTTCCTTATTGTTGCATAAGGCTTTTTGTGTGAATTCTTTTGTTCCTTGAAAATACTGCATGAATCAAAGACTGCAAATAAATTCTGCCCTTTATATGGAATTAGTAAAGACAAGAGTGTGTTCAGTATGGGATCATCCAGTTTTGGCACAGAAAAAAATATATATATATATACATACCAAGCAGGTACTGCAGAATATACTAAGGTCCAGACTTCCTGTCTCTGCAAGTTCTACTATTGTCTGCAGGAAAAAAAAAAGAAAAAAGAGGATGAAATAGGATTTAGCATACAAACAAATGTTGACAAGAACTGTAATGTGTCTGACTCAAAGGCTGTGAACTCTAATGAATTTCAGGTACTCTTTACATACAGGAGTAAGTTAAACTCAGTTGAAACTGATTTTAAACATACTCTGTTAATCCAATGTTAATTCAAGCCTGATTTCTAAATTTCTACAGGGGAACACAATGAAGACCTTTCAGGAAGGTAGCAGGATCAGCTAGTCTAAAAAAGACCATTTCTAGAGGTATCACATCAAAAATCTTAAATCTGCCTTTACCCCTTTCCTCAAACCTTGAAGTTTCTGGAAAGAAAAGAACACAAACCAAACCTTCTGCAGATATTATATTATACTCATGGCTTAACTGAAGAACATAAAGAGGTATCAGCTAAAGCATCCCTATTCCTTCACACTAAATGGTAACTTTTTATTTAGTGCACTCCCTCAGTATCTGCTTCATTCACAGAACAGAAGAAACCTTCAACTCCATGATACGTTTTCCAACAAATTCCAAAATTCAGCAGCTGAAATCTGTCTCACATGAGACTTTTAAATGATGCTTGTCACATATGGAAAATATCCTGAAATCATCTTCTGCCAAAATAGCTTTCCTTGATCCAGAAGGAATTCACTCAGCATAAACTGCCTAACAGTAAACAGATCTATTGCTCCCTTTCGAACAACACATAGCTTACGCATCAACGTAGCTTCTCATTGGAGAAGGAGTAATATGGTTCTTACAAGTATTATTTCATCGCAGCAACAGAATTGTCACTTCCCTAATGAGATGACAAGCACTAACTTGACCAAAGGTGCAGAAGCTTTCCCCACAGTACTACACTTAATTAGCCAGGAACATTTATGGGATTCTTAGCCTCAAACTAGATGGGAAAAGCTACAGTCAACAGTCCAGGGGTAAATAGTGTCTTAGCGCTTCTCCTGCTGATCTCAGATGAATGAGGAATAGTCTGATACAATTTTCTAACATTTCTTAACTAAGCTCTGGAAGTTTGACTTTTCTTTTGCTTTGCTTGCTGTGCTTCGATTGCTTTTGATGCAGAATTCATCTCCATCAAAGCAACCTTCCAGACTCTCACTCCACGCAACCACAAGTAGTTCCTCTGACTTCAGTGGGAGTTTGCACTATACTACACACCAGTGAGAAGATACACAAAGGAATTCACATGCGATGATCAACACTGGAGTTCAATATAGCCACAAGCAACATCCTAAAACTCATGAGAACAGAGCTGAAAAGGTCATATAGAATGCTTTCAAATCAAGCTTTCCTTTGAACTTACAACACAGAGAGATCCAGGAGGAGATGTTACAAACATACTTTTGTGCTTCATGAGACCTGGGGGTCTACCTTCTGTGCTTTCAAATTTTTAACATTTGATTGTGAAAAGTGACTGACTTACTTTAAGAAAAACTCAGGTTATTTTGTAATATAGAAATGCTAAAAAAAAAAAAAAAAAAAAAAGACATATCATCCAAAGAATAAACATCTGAAAATGCTGCTTACAGCAACATTTCCAAACATCCTTAACTCAGTCATCTGGAATTAAAAGAATTTTTTGCTTACTTATTGAAAAGTTAAAGGCAAACTTAGTGTAAACACACTTGGAGACAAATTATGAGTACTAAAGTATGAGAAAATACTACAGTGCACTCCATTAAGACATATCCTACAGAGGTTTATGCCCCCAATAATAAATCAGTTTACACTTGGGTTAGTTGCATTAGCACATTAACAATTATATGCATCTAAATGAGGAAGTTGTCTTTTACAATTCCTGTACAGTTCAACAAGGCTTTCATACCCATGTATAACCACTGGTGCACGTGGATAAAATGAATTGCATGTTTGTGCAATTTGCTGAATCTGAACCCATAAGCAATTGTGGACTTAATTTAGCCCTGTTGAAGAAAGAGAATTTAGCCTGGATTTCACTTTGGCAAATTTGCAATAACAGAAAACTTGTACACCGATCAACAGAATTCAGTAATAGTCTATGAGAAGAAAATCATTCAAGCCATCACAACCATCTTTTAAAGTCGCTGATATCTCCTCACTTCTCAAGGCCATTACTCCAGGTGGCTTTATGGTAATCCACACAGCTGTTGTCACAAGCGAGCAAAAAATAGAAACACAGAGCTCAGCTTTTGGTGATATGTGAGCTTCCAGAAAACTTAGAATGAAACAAAAAAAAACAACCACATTTCTGGTGCATTTGGCATGGTCAGTGCTCAGTTTGGCTGCCGAGAATGCACAGAAATTAGAGGTAATGTCATTAGTGATGAAAAACATTAGATCTCATAAGATCATCAATAATTCCTCTAATATTTATTTATTTATTTATTTAAAAAGCAAGACTGCCAGTGGTTTGGGCTGTTTTATACTTGAAATCTTCAACAACTTCACGCTTTTAATTACAAACGCAAGAAGAAAGAAAAGTGCTTTAAAGTCTGGAAAGTTTTTATAGCATCAAACCAGCAACACTTAACCCATAATGAGTCACTTCTTACAGTAAAGGTAAAATTCTAAACCTTTACATTTTTATCCAATGATTTTTTAAACTTTTTCCTATTGAAAACAAATTGAAAATTTATATATATATTTTTTTTCTCGCTGAGAACAACCTAAATGCAGCTAGGCTTAAATGCTTATTCTGAACAGAAGAGAGAAACCTGGGAGACAAGCGAAATGTTCAACATTTCAGATTCTTTCTTACACAACACTTCATTGAAAAGTCATGGATTATACTGCATACTCCAACCAACTGGCAGAAGGCACCTGAAGAACAAGTCTGACATGCTCACAGCTTTACCTTTTTCTTTTGTTCTTCTGTGGCTTTGATGATTCCTGGATCAGATTTCCAGGATTTTCCAAAATTGTAGAAAAGTGCAACGCTATTAGCAAGGAATGGAAGATGGATGAAAAAAAAATTGAGATGTGTTTGAAGTCAAGGAATTTAAAGTTTAAAACCGAACTTCCTCTTGAAAACACCCACTAATAATTCTGAAATGAAATTAAGATGATGCCCTTGTCTGAAATAACAATACACAATGTTGATCTTTTTTTTTGTACTCAGCATTTTCTATTGCTCAAAATCCCAAACTCGTAAAATGCTCTCTTTGAGATACTTCTAAAGTACTTAGTTCTCTAGAAATGAATAACGATAGTTAAGTTTTTGTAAGTATTTTCCTCTTTAAATAAATTCCATTAAATGTATCTTCTCAAAAGTACTTCCTGTTTTCACAACAAACATCTCAAAGTTCTATTTATAAAATCATCATTGGACTAATAAGTCTTCATTGGCTTGAAATTCCAGCTAGATGACAAAAACGCCTGTTTCCAGCCTTTTAAGGAACAGTACTAAATAGAACAATGCTGGACTGTGATCACAAATCATGTCAAAACCATCAGTTATCTCCAAGAAAGGTACTATTTGAAACCTGGTCCTGTCATAAGGCATTACCCATATTTCACACCAATGAAAGTTATCTTTAACATACTAATATATCTAATGCTTAAAAAAAAAAAAGAAAACAACCACAAGACTCAGAGGTCCCTGGAAGTGTTTATAAAGTCAATTTACCATATTAAGGCAGAAAATAACCATTAGGTTTAAAATATATTTCCTGTGTTGAATGATTCTCCATAACATGCATAGTCTTGCAACATTTGACATTTCTTCACAGAACTAGAACATTTCTTAGCAATGACGTTGGAAAAGCAAATCCTTCAGATATGCCTCTGCCCCTAAAACTGAGTATTTACTCTGTTCAGTGACCCTATGAAGTACTTCACCAACACTAACGATACCTGCCAGCTGTTATTCACAAATGCAACGTGATGCTATATCTGAAAGCACTGCACAAATTATTTTGTTACTCTGAGTTACCTGGATGAATATTACTCTCTATTCTGGTAGTCATTGAGACTTCCGTAATTAAAGCTTAATATGGAACTGTTTGTGTTAAAAAAAAAACTCTGCATACAAGCAGAAAGCATTATAAAGCTGAAAACATCATGTGGCAACTTGTATGGAACTAGTATATAAGGCTTTAAAAGCAACATAATAAAAGCATTTTTGCAAGCTTTACAAAAATTGATTTTGAACCTAGATGTTCAAATATATTCCACTATATAAATGTATTCTATTCTGTTTGTATTCTTGGAAAAACAGATTAAGAAAGGCATTAAAAAGCATTAGAAAAGTATTATAAAAACCATTTGTAAATAAATCTATGCGGCACAGATATAAGCAAATATTAACTGAAAGAAAATTAAAGTTCTGAAGAATAACAGTAAGCCTCTCAAATCCTTCTGCAACACTCTGGTGGCATGGAAGAACCTTGAAATATCAGTAAATGCAATTAGGACTTCTTTTGTACTTACGAAATCGTAGAATCAAATAATGGTCTGTGTTGGAATGGACCTTAAAGACCATCTAGCTCCAACTCCCCTGCCACAGGCAGGGACATCTCCTTGATCATGGTTTTGGGATACCTGATCTGACATCTAGATCAGGTATCCCAAAACCCCATCCAACCTTGTCGTGGAGTCTCATTAAAGACTCACCTTTCCTCTAACAGCTGCTTCCAGGGAAAAAAAACAACTGACCAGCTGTACTATAAACTGAACAATGTTCTTTTTGATACATTACAGATGAAAAGCTCTGACTTTAGTATACGTACCATCTACTTTCTTCCCTTTTTTTCTAAATTTACCTGCTGCCAAAACTAAGCTGGTTCAACTTAATTTCTCTAAGGCTATAAAAAATAAGTTTTCTATATAATACTCATATTGTCATTGAGTTTTATTTGCTGCAACAGTGAAAACTTCACATTAAAAATGCCTTAACCAGACAGCTGTTATAAACAATAAAGGTACAACTAAAAAAAGTTATGGACCATTCCTAATTACTGTACGTCATGTCTAGACTTCTAAAAAAGATAGGAGAAAAACCAATTTATTTTCTATCTAGTAAAATGGTTTTATAACATTAAGGTTTTTTGAATTTTTTTTAACTGATCACAATTTGTACAGCGTGGCATGTCTATGGATTCAAGCCACAGGAAATTCAGCATGCAGAATTTTTCTACATCTGCCCTTCCTACATCTTACCCCATAAAATACATGGGAAAGCCTAAGAAACTCTAACTCAGATTCTAAATTTTGCCTTCTACCATGGTGGTATGAGATGAATGTAATGCTGACAGATATAAATTGTGGCAGATAAATACCACAGACAGGAGATGCTGGGAGATCACATGAGAAAGGTGATTTATGTACAGGCAAGCTATTAGTACATAAATTGGGAAGACTGAAAGAAAACCAGCACCTTCAAATAAACCCAAGATATTTCTCATAAATTTTAAACCAAACTGGGGAGCAGGGATACAAACCAGCCACAGCCTGAAGGAGAAAGAAAATTAAGAATTGTACTTTCCAATACATTTCTTGAATCTCATGTAGACAAACAACTCAGATCGTGAGACTCACTTCACCTACCTTCAATCACTCAGCAACATAGAGAAGCACAGGGGTTTAGAAGGAACCTTTCAAGAGAAAGTAAAGCCACATCCTAATGTCAGCATTAAGGCCCTTAAGTCAGACAAGCAGTGCCATACAATTTCTTCTTTTTTTTTTTTTAAATCATGAATTCTCCTCTGACATTTACTGCCAAAGAGATCTTAGCAACTTGTATCACAAGCATCTCTCAAAATTCTCCATACATAACAAAATCCTTGTAACTTTGCATTAGCTACCCAGTAGAGAATTGACTCTCCAGAGAGTGCCTCATTTTGACCTAACATCCTCATTTGCAACTGTACAAAAAAAAAAAAAAAAAAAAAACATTACCATATTAATGGCTGAAAAAGCATGATACAACATTTACCTCTGGCACCATACTAATCTTCTGCCTTTTGTAAGGTTTCCCCACTTTACACTGTGAGAGATGAAGCAGAAACAAACACAAAATGCTTCCTACCTTCAGTCACAGTCAATAAGGTTGTTTAAGAACAAGAACAGGCTGAAAATCATTCCAGGAAACCACTTGGAACCTAAAGAGTGCCTCATTAGAAAGAAACAAAACCAAACAAGTAATCCCCATCCCATTCCAAACCCCTTGAGTGATGCAAATACACAATCAGCTAATATTTTATCCTGACCTGCAGCCTATTTAGAATGGCCCAATCAAATGCCAATTCCTGGTATCACAGTTACACATCGTACAATAGACTGAAACCAAGCCAGAGTGCACATTATATAGCAAGATGCTCCCTTATACTAGCTACAAAGCCAATAATAAATTCTTTTCTCCTAAAGATCTGCAGCTAGGATCAGATGTCAGATCAACACAAGCTAATTAATCTGCCAATTTGTAACAGCTGTACATTCAGATCCACACCTACAGGTACACAAGAGGTCTCATATGGCTAGATATTTATTAGATGATATCCATGTTTACCAGCTAAAGATTGGCAAGGCCTCTACATCTGACCTCCATCCTCTGTTGATAAAGAAAAATCCCCTTAGGATGGCCCTCAGGGTCCATCCAGTTGCAGCTTTCCACCATGGGCAGGGCTGCCACACACCAGCTCAGGCTGCCCAGGATCCCATCCTACCAGGCCTTGAATACCTCCAGGGATGGAGCACCCACAGCTTCTCCAGGCAGCCTGTGCCAGTGCCTCAGGGCCTCCAGAGTATGCTACTGTAACAGCTCTGTGAAAGCATGAAAATAATCATGCATTCTCCTAGAACAAGTTTTAACAACTGTTTAATTGAAATCATGTTTTCCTTCACTTAAAAAACATCAACACATGAAGCACATTAGTCATAATGATAACCAATAAGGTCAACGACAATTCTTTAACAATTTTGAATTTGCCTTGCATCTCATTACCTCAGCATTGCAAATGGTACGCCATACCAAAGGAGCACAATGAAAGAAAATTACATCCTAAAAATTGCATCAAATGGAAGCATTAGAACAAAAAAAATTGTCCTGTGATTATTTTGGGTTATAGCAATCCCTGAAATCTTAAAACAAAAAAAAAAAAAACAAAAAAAAAACAAAAAACCAGAGCAGCAAAAAACCTCCAACACAATAAGCTCAATTTGTTCAGCTGTAGTTGGAAGATGGCATAAACAACTGACAAAGGAATTCAATACGTGTGCCCTGAATTTCTATAGGACACAAGAGTGCATTCTACCTACAAAATGCTAAAGGAGAGGAATAAAATACTCTACAGATTTATTGTTTGTAAGTGTAATTTCAATGCATTTTTCCCCCCTAAAAATAAAAGTAGATTAAAATACGGTAATTCTGTGTATAGGATTTTTATTATTATTATTTAATAATAACCCTGCTCCACAAACAGCAGAAGATAAACTAAGAGCATAGGACAACTATCCTTCATTACAGGCAAAACAGCAGAAGGGAAGTGTAAATGCACGGTTCAGGAATTTCTTCACTCCTATAAAGAGAAGTATTCTATTTTAAAAAATAAATCAGTCTCAGAAATCACAAGGAAAATTCAATCGAAAGGAAACATGCACAAAATTAAGCAAATCAGTCATATAAATTGTTCAAATTTACTTTCAAGATTGGGCTTTAACTGACAGATCACTAAGTCATGTAACTTATAGAAGACCTTATTTTCCATGCAACAATCATTAAATTCAAGAAATTACACTGATCAACTTCAGCTTTGTATGTTCTTTATGATACGCTGCTTCTACTGCCCTTTCCTGACTCATTAGGATTAAAACCAGCAAACTGGATGCTGTTTCAGACACCTTCAACAAATCTACAAGAGTTCTCTTGCTAAAGTTCTCTTGTTAAGAGAGTTCTTAACAAGAGAACTCTTAACAAATACTTGAATATTTAAGTAATGTTTGCAGCAATAACGACTTCTATATTATTTGTAATATTACATCTGAAGTTCCAGGAAGGCATTACTTGACAGTTTTAAGTTCAAAACATTTTTCCTGAGCAAAATATTGTCACAATTCATGAAATGACCAGGACAGGTTTCATCATCGGATGAACATTACAGAGTATAAAGAAGTACTCTGGTCTGCTGTAAGTAATTATATAAAGCTGTAAAAATAGAAGAATATTTTCCCCAACCACAGCATTGTGCCTCATGCCATAAAAATAGAACAAGCATGCAATTTTTTTTTTTTTTTTTTTTTTTTCTCCCTTTAATAAAGCTACAGGGCAATTTTCCAGAAGAAGAATGGATCTGGAATCTTATTACAAAGAATTCCAATTTAAAATCATCAATTAAAGGAAGATGGCCCCAAGTACTGTCTCCAAAGCTGCTTGTCACACAGAATTGTGTCAGCTCTAATGAATGCAATCAGTAGAAATAGAATCTTTCAGACTACTTTTGTGTCTAAAAAAGCTTTTGCAAAGGTTTTGATACAAACTTAAATTACAGCAGCAGTACAGTATTTTATCAGTGTTCTCAAGTCACAGTTTCAGATTAGTTAATTATCTATGCTCACTACTTCTAGTGAACATTACCCAGAGACAAATGCCAAGTTACATTAACCAGGATGGCTATCAGAAATAAAAATCTGAGCAAGCTGGTACACATTAAAGACATCAATTTTCACTGGAATATGAACAAACTATACACTCCAAGAAAAAATATCTTATAATTTGCTAGCCTTAAGACACAGCTTTTCACATCAAGATGGAGGCCATCACCATGCCATGCCAGCTGTAGAAGCAATTCTAATCCAGTGAAGGACTCCGACTGAAAACTGAGCACATACTTACATACAGTTCAAGATGATGTTATGTTAGCACAAGAAAGCTTTTCAAGGTAGCTCAGCATTTGCTACTCAACCACAAGTTCCTAAACAAACTCTACAAGGTATAGAGAGATCAGAAATGAGATGCTGCAGTTGTTAAACCTGCCTGAGAAAGTTCCATTTCACTACTTGCCAGAAGTCAGGCATGTTTTCTCACCAAAAAATAACAGAAAAAGCAAGTTCACTCTAAAGGCATGGTGTATTTAGACTATCTACTCCATTCTGTCAAACATGGAAAATTACACTTCCATCTTAAAACTATCAGCTAAGACTGAAGAACATACTGAGAAGATAATAAAATGACTGCACTGCTACTACCTTGTTTCGTGGTATAATTTCTCTGAAGCAGAAAAACCCTTTCCAGGAAATCACAGAATGACAGAATATCCCAAGTTAGAAGAGATCCACCACGATCACCACAACTTCTAATTCCACACAGGACCACACAAAATCAAACCCTATGTCTGAGAGCACTGTCCTAACACTCCTTGATCTTCACCAGCTTGGGGCCATGCCCACTGCCCTGGGCAGCCTGTTTCCAGGGCCTGACCAGCCTCCGGTGAAGAACCTTCCCCTAACCTCCAACCTGATCCTCCCCTCACACAGCTCCATGCCATTCCCTTGTTGCTGTCAGAGAGCAGAGCTCAGTTTGCCTCTCTGCTCCCTTCTTGAGGAGTTGTATGCCACCAAGAGGCCTCCCCTCAGCTCCTTTGCCCTGGGCTGAACAAACCAAAGGACCTCAGCTGTTCCTTACACATCTTGCCTTCAGACCTCTTCCCACCTTTGTAGCCCTCCTTTGGATGCTCTCCAGTCTTTATATTATGGTGCCTGAAACTGCACAGCTTATGACCAATATCCACCATAAATGTAAAATTCACTTCAACTATGTGCAAACATTAAACATTTTAAAAAAACATTAAACATCTATTCAGTTTTTAAGTTACTGTATTTGAAATACAGAAGAAAGTTGTTTAAGAATTTCAATGTTTCCTTAGGGGGCTAAGGGACATTTTTCATTGAACTCTGAAACAATTTCTACCCCAGTGAAAACGTAAGTTCATATCTAGGCAGACACTCAAAAACATAAAAAGATGGGTAATGTAATCTGTAATCTAGTACTGCTAATGCATCCATATTCAAAGACTGAAAATAGTTAAAACTAAATTTATCTACTGCCTACTGTTCTTTGTGAAGTTAAAATTCATCAGCTCACAGCCACGGCGTATCTTATGGACTTGCTTACATTTCCCCACTTAAACTGGCAAAGCATAGGAGATTTTGCAGACTGCAGTAAGGCAGTTTTGAGGAAAATCTTCTACTTTCTGAAGCATAGCAATATCATATTTTTTAAAGTAAAAAAATAATTACCATGAAGACACAAAACAATTTTTAATGAAGACAGGTCCTCCAAAATTTTAAGCCGTATGCTTACTCTTTCATGAAGAATAACCCTGGGCTTTACCTCATGCTACTAACACGAAGAAAATTTACTGTACACAGAAAAGGATATCATTCCAAAACCAGAAGAACCACGTCACATACATCCAGAATTTTGTTGCCAAGTATATTCCAAGAGGCAATGCACTGTGCATGGAGTGATCAAAGAATGACCTGTAAAGCAGAAGCAATGTCATAAGTACATAAGAATGTTGTACATTCATTTTTTTAAGTAAACCTCCGTACGAGATAAATGAGGTAAACCTGATTTGAACACCCTGGGCAAGATAACAGCCATAACAGAAATATGTATTTTTTAAAAAATAAGATGTTAATAGTTGATTTAAGAAAAATCTATCAGTAACTCTTAGGTTATAATGACTCATCACCACTTTAATATAATCTCATAATATTTCCTTATCTGATTTAAAAATAGTATCTTCGTTACACACATTAAATCAAAACGATCGGTCTTCTTAACAGGAAAACAAAAGTCTTCAGTTGGTTTTGAAATTGTTCACAATATTGAAAAACTCATGTTTTTTCTGTTGCTATTTTGGAAGGTACCATGGTTCACTGAGCATAATGCTTTGTAAGCAAACAGCACTGCAGCAATCAAGAATTACACAAGAAATGTGAAATGCTTACTTACCTAAAACTACACTGATAGCAGTTACACATCTGTGAGATTCCTAACCTACATCATGGATGGCGGTTGCAGGCTGCATTTACACACAAGATTCCAATGCCAAAAACACTCAGAAACCCACACAATGGAAAATAGATGTTAAAATTACTTCAAGAAGGAAAAGGTTTAAGAGACTTTGGTGTTATCAGCCTACATACTAGAAATATTTCTGATTCTTGAATCTTCCACTTCTGTAAGAGTTTCCATTAGAAAATAAGAGGAAAATTAGGCATTTCCCATAACAATAGATGTGCCAATTTGCAAGCCTGAGTGCTACTACATTAACAAAAGCAAAAATAAAGCCATCAGAATTCTTCTTACCTTCTCATTCTCTGCATTTTAAAGAATATTCTGCACAGAATTTGAATTTAGTTGGGACAAACTATGTTAGTGACTTGGTAATTCCATATTCAAGCAAGAGCTGCTAAACATATGAAAACTCATCTTCTAAACTGCTTAACTCCTTGAAATAAAACTTCTTCCACTTCCTGCTTAAACATCCTTACATTGAAGCTTTTGGCTTTCTGTCCTGACAGTGCCTCTGAGCTGCCATGGTTATCTGCACACTGCACAGCCTCCATTTTACTCCTTTAGTCCCTTGCAGTAACTCTCCTCTAACAAACATTTAATAGTTTTCATTTTACTCCTGTTTTCCTTTGTAGTAGCTCTCTCTCCTTTGATATAAGCTTTTTAAATCTTTTGAGAAAATCTTGAAATGCTAAGGTGATGAGTTAAGGTGGCAAATAAAACGTGAATATAAATTTGGATAAACAGCAGTTACACAGCAGTAATTATTCCTTCAGTGATCCCTATACACTTTTTTTTTTGGTGAATAGAGAGGAAAAGAAACAGAGATAAGCAAATTTGCTAAAATTTAAAAAGGCAAAGGAAATATTACTAGAATAATAGCAAAAGTTTCATTCAAATCTCTACTTTATGAAAAACACTTTGAAAATCCTGCATAACTGAATATTAAGCAAAAGATAAGAGAAATAATGTTAATCCTGAGCAGGTATCAAGCAGATAAAAAATAGAACAGAAATGATGCCAACGCACATCTTGAGAAACTGAAACGTCATTCCTGCCTGTAGGAAGTGTGGTTGAGGATCTGCATTACCAAGGGATCTAGCAGTAGAAGGAGGTCATAGACTGAACAGCCTCAGATAACAAAAAGACTGAACAGATTTTCTCAAAGATCTTTCAGAGGCGTGAGTCTGATGACCACTCCTCCCATATGTATTAACATATAGATTCCACGAATTTGTTTTGTGGAGCAGAAATATTTTGTTTTCCTCTACATAGAAAGGAAGGAAGAGCAAGTGGTTCTAAAAAAACCCCATGATATTCAATGCCAGAAAAGGAGATAGCTTGTAAGTACAATTATATAGCAGGTTCTTCTACAGACACCACGCATGACAAAGAAAGGCAAAGAAAGGCAAAGCACAAATTAAGAAGTCTAAAGATCCTGAAAATCTACAGAGTACCTGTGCAGGTATACATTTATGTACATCTACAGTCATTTAAGTAATCACAAACATTTAAAGCTCTCTAAGATCAGTTAACAAATCAACACTATTAAAAAGCAGCCATTTTCTTCAGCCATCTCTTTGCAGAAAAACAGGGTTTTGATTGTATACTTGCACAGGTCTTTTTTCTGTCCCTGTAGCTTTTCCACTGACTGCTTTCTATACAATTTACACTGGTAACTCTTTGTCAGACAGACATTCAGCACCCTCCTCTGGAGAATGATTGAATTTCTGCTTTGCTGCTAGCTTTTATAAACTCAATGTAATCCAACCAAGGTAATTCCATATGTATCTGCAAGACAGTGGAGCAAAGCTGCACGAGTCCATTCCAAGGAATAATGATACAAATAAGTAAATAAAGTAGCATATCTAAAAACACACATGAAAGACAAATTTAAGATTATCTATCCAACAAATGAGATGCCCAAAAACACTTACTTTGAAAGAAACTGCACCATAGCCCAAACACCACCGTACATCAGCCCTTTAATGAGCCAAGAATCAATGTCTAGGTCTGCTATGAACCCAACAAGCCAAATAACTAGGAAAGGAGTCCCCAGCATCACCTTCTGACGGAATTCCTACATAGAAACAAATAGCTGTAAGTAATTCTGCTTTTAGGAACAGGCAGTAAAATAATATTCTATAATAAAAAAAGACAGACACAAAAACTTGTACCAAGTTTTTTTTAAAAAATCAATTATATTTTTTTATAATAATTATATTATTTTATAATAATTATATACTTGCGTATCTGCAGCATATATGCAAAAAAAATTTCCTGTAATCTGTGACAAAATAACTATTTGTTTTATAAGAATCACCTTTTGGAGATTTTACTAATCCACAATAAAGGCAATAGCAGTTCTTTTTTAAAAGCACTGGAATGCAGTGAGATATTATAGACTATAGTGCAGATAATCTCAGGTCGCGTTAAACTGCCTAGAAAAAAGTATTGTAAGAGACTGCCAAACTGAAGACTATGTGAAGAAAGATAGGTCATATTATGGAGGTGCAGTTCCTGTTTAAGGAACTTCCAACTTTTTCTGGACACTGAAAGTGCACACACGTAGATAATCCAACACACAGATCACATAAGGGCCAGCTGCTGCATTACTGTATGGCCATACCGTTACAGCAGAGGCTGTAGCCAGTGCCGTAACCACCAAGATGCAATGTCTATTTAAATCAAGAAACAATTACAAACTACAGCAACACTTAATACCCAGCACAGTATTTTCATCAATAAGAAAACATTAACAGTACACAAGTCCTCAGACTATGGGCAAACAGAATTTCCTCACACTAGTGTGCCCTTTTATACCCTCATTTCTTGTCTCCTCCTCTCCACAGCATCAGATACTAACCTGAGCAGAAAAAGGCCTCCGCATTAAAGATTTTCATGACATTATAAGACTGTCAACACCAACTGTTTTAATCACTGAACACAAAATACTACATAACAGTGAGGAGATCAGTGATCTGGGTATATAAAACACTGTTTTCTCTTACATGCTTGAGAATCAGCTTTGAAATAATCTTGGATTTGCCCCAACAGAACTGCTTGGCACTTCCTTAATGTTTAAGCTGCACAAAAGCTAAAGGTTACTGTGGAGGCTTATGGTGGGTTGCAGTTTTGTTGCTGTTGTTGTTTACTCTGCTGTTTTATTTTTTCTTTTGTAATTATTTTTAGTGTAAAAAGACAGCATTTCCTAGAACTAAAACACGGGGAACATACATTACTGAATTGCTTACAGTCAACAAACATGACTCCCTCCTCCCACCCAAGTCAGCAGTAACACTGACTTACAGAAATGCTATACTACTTCTCACCTTATCAGCTTTAAGTTTCCTCAGAAAGGATGGACTGTCATATCCCTTAGCCTGCCTTGCTTCCTGTAGGTGATTGATCATCCAAACGTTTTTCCTCTGTTTTGCTAGATCAAGTGGTGATTCTCCCTGCCAAGAGCATAAAAGAGGGAAAAAATCCGATTTAAAAATAAAATGCATTCAGTGCACTTTTGAAACAGAATTATGGCATTGATTTTTATTATTTTTTTTTTTTTTTTACTTTACAGCATATTTGACACTAATCATCATTCATTCATCATCCCTTTTGATCTTTTTCACACTCTCATAACTATACAAGTGTTCAAACAGAACATTAAATAATTCTGACAATACATGTCTTGACATAGTAGTAATTGTTGCCTTTGGCATAACATATCTGTTTCCTTGCTCTATACACAGCCCACCAGTCTGTAAAAGAAAGACTGTGCTTCTTCCTCAGCTATTGACAGGCAGCAGAAATCCAGCAAAGAAATAGAACTCATAACCCACTGGATCACGGAAACTCTCCCAGCCTAAAGCCTGACTCGAGTTAATTCTCTGCTTTCTTGGCAGAGTGAGGTTACTAATACATAGAATTTTTTAAATAAGGATTTTTTTTTTCCAAAAGTTTACTGTTCTAAGCTTGTCTAGTTAATGAAGATCAAGGAAGAAAATGGGAAAGAATTAACTGATTGCTCATGTACTACTTATTCCATAAGTCTGAGCTTTGATGCTTGGCTTGTGCTTCACATACTTCAGGTGCAAAGCCAGCAACAGTGCATGCTTTCACATTCCCTACCTTAAGAGAACTGACAGACAAAGCAAAGAGAGAGAGAGAGAGAGATACAGGGGCCAAAGGAGCCTAACAGACTGATTTGATATCACTACTTTTTAAACTTCCAGGAAGAGAACTAAATGAAAGCTACTGACTGGGTCTAAAATTATAGAGGAGGCAAGAGACAACCAATTGCAGGTACCTCCAGCTTCAGTTTTGCATTTCACTCCTCCTCTCTTCTACTGGAGTTAAATCCCCTCCTAAACAAAGCACTCATGGAGGCTTGAAAAATGGCTGAATCCTCCATCGCTTGGCCCCTTCCTAAAAAAAAAGTGAGACAGGTACCAGAAACTGAAATTACCCACAAAGGGCAATCATTACTATAGACAGAAGAGGTGTCAAAAACAAAAAAGACAGTTAGCTATCTATATGGCACAGAAAGACTTAGCTGTCATCCTTGCCTTTGAAATCCTGCTCCAGATCTCTAAAAGAAGGGCAAACAACATAAGCTACAGATTATGAGGTGAAGTGTTTTGCTGACTAACAGGATCTTGCAGGCTGCCTGTCCAAAAAATTCAACTACCAAAATTGGTATAAAAAAAAAAAAAAAAAAAAAAAAGAATATCCTTTTGATAGATAATTAAGAAACAGACTGAGGCCTCTTGATTCTCAGCAGAAATGCCTGAAATCAAACTATGGTGCCTGCTTCATCACAAAATGTAATGGCATCTCATTTTGAACTGCTAGTATCTGGAAAACTCCAGACATCACGCAATTTTCTTTTTTTTTTTCTTTTTCTTAATATCACTTTATATTTCCAGACCATAAAGATTACCTGTGGACAAGCAATTCTCTCTGGGAGCTCATCTCCCAAGTAAATCCTGAAGTTGTCTTGGGGTCCAGCTGAGCATCCCTTCCACTAGAGGGCCATGAGACACCTAGGAACTGCCTAGACAAAAAGATTGAGGGAGCTTTAAAGAAATCTTTGACTATGTGTCTAATCATCTGGGTATTTTAATATTTTCCTTGTATTCACAGGGATGGATGGCTGACTTGCTTAAAAAGCAATCAAAAAAAAAAATCAGGGATCTCGGTCTAGTAAACAACTTGGACTGACAGAAAGCAATAAGGTTTCAAGAGTGTATATTTTGAGTGATTAGACAGAAAGAATAATCTGAAGCATCATTACTATAGGGAACTTTACATGTAGACTTCCACAGTCAAACCTATGGATACGCTGCATAATCAACAAACTACACCTAATATCTACTCAGCAATTTATTAACAGATTTTAATTATTTAATTCCAATTATGAGCTGAGTTGTTGTGAAATCCTGTCCTCATCTGCCCAGTCTGTCTGCTACTAAGGCAAGATACTTAAAAACCCACAACTCTCCCCTGACTCCTAAAAAGCTTCCAATTCTAATTGTAATCTGGGTCTCAAACAAAAGAAAAAAAAACAAAAAAAACCCCTTTCTTAATACCAAAAGAAAATTCTTATTTTCTTGCACAGCATAATACAAATAGGATAAATAACAAGAACTGGACAAATCCACTTTGATTAACTTGAAACAACCGTACCAAAGATATATACACGTTTAGGTGTTAATAATCCACACTGCTGATTTATATAATTTTACTTCCAGAATGCACATTTTCTTTCTCTTTTTTTATTTTTTTTATCCTCCAAATTATCAAGATTTATTCTGGAATAATAGTGTGATTGTACTTTCCTTTAATTCTCCACTATAGCATTCAAACTCTCATGCAACACAGAAGTAGCACCTTACTGAGATGACTGATTCCAACCTGCTCCAAAACTAGAAAGCCAGCAACATGCTGTTTTCTAACATAGGCTGCCTAGAGCTGATAACAATTTCATGTTTATTATGTGCTTGTGATGAACATATACTAAATCACCCAAATCAACACCCTTTATAAATACTGACAGGATGGTGAAACCAACTCTGCTAGAAGGATTTTGACATCTGAAGATCCTAGAAACCAACAGGAAGGCATACAAGTAATCCTGAATCCACTGCAGATAATGAAACCAGGCACGTGTCTCTTCTGGCATGACCGGAAAGACATCATGATCCAGCAGGTTCAAAAGCCTATTTTTCCTACTGACTGCTGCTGTCTGTCAATAACGTAACTGCTGCAGGCTAGCTGGTATCATTTCAGTTGGCCAAACATATCAACTTGTGTTACAGATTTCACAAGAGTCCAGAAGTGTAGATAAGGTGAGGACTTCAGGTGCACTAATCAGTTTGTCATGGGAAGCAAGTTATGACACACTGATCTTTTTTCCACAAAAAAACCCTACTTACTAATTTTTACCATTAGGTGGCACAGAGAAGAGCTTGAGCTTCTTAACAGTTTGCAAGAAGTGTGGCTAAATTACGATTTGTCTCACAACTGATCTTACAAACTAGGAAAAGTATTTGCATAAATACGTAACTATTGCATGTAGAACCCAGAAAGCTATAAGTAAATTAAAATGCATCCCTAAAAACACTGTTACATGCTGTTCAAGAAAATGGATGATTAGCTTTGTTTGTTTTTAGCACATTTCTATCACTTATTCCAACTAAAGTAAGGCCTGGCCATCTTAACTGGTAGGAAAAACGGTGAAAGGTCAAATTAATTAGATATTTAATCTTTTATAAATGCAGGTGTGGACCTGTCTTTTTGCAGTCTACCTATAATATTTTTAACATTTAATATTACGTGAGAAATACAAATATTTGAAGAGAAAGGGAGTAGTGGAAAATTCTTTTTCTAAATTTGAATTCTGACACCACAAAAGAAACAACTCAGGCGATAAAGTACATTTGATTTGCTACACAAAAAGAAAGAACTTAGATGATAAAGTACATCTGATTTGCTATACATAACAGTAATGGACAGGCTCTGGACAAAAACACTGCAGAGCTAAGATTGAATAGGCCCACCCTCCATCAGAGAAGCTTCTCTTACAGACTCCATGCCTACCACATAAATCCTAGCAGCTTTGTGGCTGGTCTAACACATACTAAGGATGGGTTAAGTTAGTGCAGAACCAATTTTCATGAAGTGCTTCTGGCAAAATAACCAGGCAACTTGAAGTTCCAATACAAGAAAGAGCCCATTTTTGTAATCTACTCTTACTGGTATTTTCCAGTCTTCGATTTCCTTGCCACTGGGAAATGAACTTTCCCACATCTCAATATATTTAAAAAGATAGTCACCCCAAAACTTCATAGAATACGTTCAGCCAGATATTTTTTTTTCATCCAAATAAATGGCTCATCATGCATGCCATCTAAAGGTGCACCCCACCCCAAATATATTTGTACTTAACCATTCACAAATTGTCTACATGGGTACTTTTGAAGGTTCAGATTTAGTAGTTAGGCATCATTGTTAATAAACACTGACACTTGGATAAAAGTTAATGGCATGATTTTTGCTCCATCTTCATGATCCCATCATACCCACAAGAATAATTTATTCTTCAGATTTCTATCTCAAACCACCTACAATAAAAACAGACTGTTTACCTTTATATTCTGAGCATCAACATTAGCTCCAGCTTCTAACAGAAGACTAATAACTGTAGTATTTCCTGCTAGAACAGCCCAGTGCAACGCTGTGTTCTTGTGATACTTGTCTCCAAGATTAACAGAAACATTAAACGTAAGTAGTAATCGGGTTGGATCCACACTAGAAAAGAAAAGTCTTATTAGATCTACAAAGGAATTCAATACATTCCAACTTCCTGTTATTGAGTTCAACTTCTATACAGAATATCCATCACTGACATTATGTAGAAATGACATATTTGTTGATTATCAATGGCTCAAATTCTACTCCCACCAAAGAACAACTGCAATTTTGTTGAATTCTAAAGGAGTTTCTTCTGAAATGTCAGGCAATACATTTAGTACATAATTCTGTTATCGTGCCTCTCAACAATATTAACATAGATTTGTAAAAGAAAACAAACGATTGTATCAAACAGTATATCAAAGTTCTAAATATTTCAGACTTTCACATTCCAAAAGATGCACATTAAAAATGCTGGTGGCAAATGGCAGTATTTGCAAAAACTTACTTATGCTTCACTCAAAAAACAAAGGAGACAAATTAGTTTCCAAGCAGGAAACTAATCCAAACTAACTTGTTCTTTGGAGAATTGCCTTTTTATACCAATTTGTTCCAGCAGTCTCCATAGGAAGGCCTACTCAGTTAAAAAAAAAAAAAAATCATAATACTGAGTATATCTGGATAGTACCTTCTCTCTGGAACAGATCACAAATTAAGAAAGATAAAGTGGCAGTTGTGAAAAGTACACTGACTAATTAAACCAAAGCACTCTCAAAAACTCAAAATCAGTCATTACTCCAAGCAATGTATGTAGTTAACACCAAGATTAAGTAAAAATTGCAGCGAGGATATGAATTACCTATGTGTTCTGTAAGCTGCCCACATTAGAGGTGTCATTCCATTTTGATCCATCATATCTACATCCTAAAAAAAAAAAAAAAGTTGCTGAGATAAGTATGTTTGTTCAAGTAGATAAAACAGCAGTACATAGGACATCTGAAATAAAATGTTTAACTTCTATCAGAAAGGAAAACATCTGCTACATACAGTGTTTTGTCCTGTTACAGATCTCCGCCTATAGTGAGGCAAGGAAGTTGGTGGCTCCTATATACATTCAGAGCCAGATCAGACCCTCAAGCACATGCAAGCAAGTTCCACAGCCTGGCAGCACAAAATTACTCTAAACTAAATTTAATTCAAGACTGCAACAATTGTACTTAGAGGTGGCAGAGCTACATCAGTATCTCTTATGTTATTTCCTTCAGCCCTTACTAAGAAAATTAGTTTGAAAGTGTTTTAATAAAACCATTTGCTTCAGAAATTCTTGAGAGAAACTCAAAATATAGAAGTAGCTTTCTACTTGCCACTTCTCTGCTCTGGTATCTGCCAAACGTTCAGCAGTCTGGGACTCCCACCCACTGTGCTACTAGCCTGAAACAGACAAAAGTTATCCAGAAAATCCAACTTAGTTCTATTAAATAACTAAATAACTGCTTTTAAAAGATAGCCAGATTGTAGATACCTGTGCATTTTAGAATTCTTACTCAATTGCTAAGTTAAAAATAATAAAATTAAAAAATCAGAAATAAAAAGCGATTGATAAGAGGGGAGGAAAACCACTACTTGATTGCCCAGCATATTGAGAAACAAGTTGTACATACTAAGACCAATATTTAGGTCTATTTCCTCTATGTATGCACATAGACTGTATTCTTTAGAACCTCTTAAAGCCACACAACTGTTGGCATTCGCTCCCTTCAAGCTCCTGTTGCCAAGATTGCGAAGGAAATTAGAACCACAGCTGAGCCTCAAGGTCATTCATCCTTAAGAAGCATGACTTCAGTTCACAGGTCGCACTGTGTGAACCACATGTTTTTAAACATTTGTGTGCTAACGAGACATAAACAATCACTCTCTTAATTTTTAGATTATATGCAGAAATGCAATGTGTTGTGATCAACAGACACCTGATTGCTTGGAAGGAGGTAAAAAAAAAGACTCCTTCAGTGATACCACCAGACAAACTGAGATTATGTCTTGCATACTAGGTTACAGTTAAAAGAGGAAAAAAGAAGATGAGCTCCAAATTACTATACTAGATGAGCAGGCTATATCTATTACTCATACCACGCTCCAACATGGGCTGAGGCAGATCCCTCTTCAAAGGAAATGTAGCAACTGAAAAGAAACTAAGACTCGCACACAGTTTTATGTGCATGATAAAATGATGCACAACATGCACAGAAGAGATGCTGTCTATCAAAGCTCCTATTAAAAATTCGTCATTCTGCCAGATGAATGCTACATTCATACAACAAAAAGTAAGCTTCAGAAAGTTCTGTTCTTCTGTATCAGAATGCTGAGGCAAAAAAGTAAACAAGAAAGTAAACAACGTATAATGCATCAGAAGACTGTTCTTTTCTTGTGTGAACCAACAGGCATCTCAGCATTAACTTCTTGTTAACTCCTGGTGACAGGTCAATCTGATAATGCTCTTGGACAGCTGTCCATGCTACTAAGGCAGGAATTTGAGCATTACAAGAGGCAGATTTCAATACTAAATACAGTGATGCAGTGATAAAAAGTATACTTATATGCCATGTATACAATTCAAATGAGAGAACACAACAGACCAACACCAGTTATTATTTAAAATGTATCTGAAATAGGATAACTCTGGCTCTGAAAGAGAACGACTTTAAAGATTAGCCAGATTTTAGTTATACAGCATTAATACAGGATTCCACAAGAAGGGTAGAAAACACAGGGGAGGAAACAGCTTCTTACATAAAAAGGAGCTGTGTCAACTAATTCTGCTGCTTGACACCACTTTCCAAAGTAACACAGCTGATGAGTTTGATTTCTGAACAGTCACTAGAGATCACAGCAACACTTTGCTTACCAGGGCTTTTTAATAGTGGTGCTCAAGCCAGTCCTGTGTTAGAATACAGCCTTCTCAAAAGCACAAAAAGCATAAAGGGATTCCAACCAAAAATACACTGAATTGGACAAAAACAGACTGGAAATTTGATCATCTTCAGAAACATTACTGGTTATTTCACATCTCATAGGCTTTATAAAAAGATCCATCATATGTTTATGAAGAATAGGAATCTGAACAAGGTAAAGATCTCTCACATGGACTGTCAGCCAGAGAACATGAAACAGACTCTCAAAGAAATAGAATACATAAAAGCAAATAGTAAAGAAAATTTATCAGGAAGGTGGAGGTACAACTGAAAACATTTTCTAATTTGTGAAAGATGTACCAGCTATTCTCCAAAAGAAAAGACTTCATAGGATTCTAGTAAAACAAATCCAGTGCAGACTGACAGGCAACTTAACAAGCCAGGTATGGCAAACAAAAGAAGCTGCTTCTGCACAAGAGGTCTGCTCTGAGCCTAGTTCATCAGTCTGTTTCAACAGCCATAAAGAAGAATCATAATTGGCCTCAGAATTCTGTAACTAATGCACTCCTGTGTAGGTTTAGGAAGTAAACGCTTGGTTAGCAGCTTCCTCTGGCCTTAGTGCTGCTGCAAGAATGATGCTCAGTGTTGACAAGCGACGGAGAGCTGGCACAGGTTGTTGCCCAGAGAGGTTGTGAAATCATCCCCCTTGTGGATTCAAAAGCTGCATGGACTGGGTGCCTGGCAACCTGTTCTAGATGTCTGTATTTGATTAGGAGGATGGACCAGACGGTCCTTCCAACATGATTCTGTTTAAACCCACGTGCCTTTCATCACCAGATACTACAGTTAGGGTCAGAACAAACACAAGCCTATTCTCAGAAATGTAAGAGAGCCTAATCTCTGTCAAGGAAAAAGGAAAAACGCTTACAAGACTAATAGGGTAAGTCTACATGAGCAAAAGTAGTTTAAGTTTCCAAATCCAAATCATTACATTATAAAGGAAGTAAATATTCATGTCAGCAAAGAGCAGAGTCTGATGTGATAGGACAAGAGAATATGGTTTCAAACTAAATGAGGCGAGATTCAGACTGGATATAAGGAAAAAGTTGGGTTTTTTTGTTTGTTTTTTTAAGAGTGGTGAAGCAGTGGAATAGGTTGCCCAGAGAGGCAGCTGACGCCTCACCCCTGAAGTTATTCAACATCAGGCTAGACAGGACTCTGAGCAACCTGATCTACCTGTAGGTGTCCCTGTTCATTGCAGAGGAGTTGGACGAGAGGACCTTTAATGATCCTTTACAACTCAAACGATTCCATTATTCCATGATTAACAAACTGGTATGCACTTTTAAAGAATAAAAAGTAAAATCATGTGTTTCACATAGCCTCTACAGAAGCTGAACAGTTACCATAGTATAGCTAGAAAACTTTGAGTTCAGGGATTGTTATTACAGTGTTATTTATATCTTTTATAATTATATTATTTATTTTATTTTAAGTATACAAATCAATATATAACTTTAATTCATCTTTTCTGAAGTGCTTGAAGTGTTAACTCAAACATTGAAAGGCACGCAAAGGACACTGAAATCATGCTTGATTACACTGGGGGGAATTTATTAAGACTTATCTTTAAAAGAAAGAGTTATTGTCAAGAAACCTGTTACCAAGATAATAGGACTCAAATTTTAAAGTAAGATTTTTGCACCCATGTACACACACATGTACACAACACACACAGCTTCTCTCATAGTGAAGCATTATATGCTCAAATAAATAAATAGGGCAAGTCTGTATATAAACATCAGGGCAAGTAAACATTCACAGTGAGATTTCATAATAATGACAAAATATTACAAGGGATATCTATACTTCATTAATGCTATGCTTTAAACAACTCTGCAAATACAGAGCACTTGCAAGGTTTTTCTGATGTAAGAATACGGGTTTTTCATTTTAGATAATTTATGAACAAAATATAAAACTTGTTCCTGACCAAAGAGTTTTTATTATCTTGCAAAGATAAGGTAAGAGCATTATTTAGCTGGCAAAACAGTGATTACGTAAGACTGGCCTCCTCTTGTATCTACCTTACTCTCAACCATACCCTAAACACTGTTTCACCAAACAATTTTAAGATGAAAAATGATTGTTGCAAAATGCAGTTTTTTAAAATTGTATACACACAGATCACTTCCTGTAGCAAATCTAGTTTTGTTTTACAATACAGTAGCACTTTGCAGCTGAAAACAGACCTAAATCAATTAATTTCATACTCATACTCTATCAGACGCATTGGATCGTACCTCACTTGATATTTGAAAGAACAAGTACAATACAGAACTGGAACAGTATTAGCAGGACTGTAAAAAGAGAGAAGGGTTTTGACTTCTCTATATGGCTTACAAAGAAAATAAAATCTGTGCTTCAGGAACATACCTGTGGTTGAGTAAATCTATGAAGAATAATGCAGAGCAAGTAGCAAAAAAATGAATAATGTTTTGAGCACAGAGAATGAAAGATGGGAGACAATGTGAAGAGTAGTGAGCACATGTGCTATACATACACATCTTACGTATATAGACATTGAGATTTTGGAAAGGGTCCAGAGGAGGGCAACTAAGATGATCAGGGGGCTGGAGCACCTCCCCTATGAGGACAGGCTGAGGGAGTTGGGCTTGTTCAGCCTGGAGAAGAGAAGGCTGCGGGGTGACCTCATTGCAGCCTATCAATACCTGAAGGGAACCTACACCCACGAGGGGAGTAAACTCTTCAGAAGGGCTGACAACAGCAGGACTAGGGGAAATGGATCCAAGTTGAAGGAGGGAAGATCTAGGTTGGATGTTAGGGGGAAGTTCTATACAAGGAGAGTGGTTAGGCCCTGGAACGGGCTGCCCAGGGAGGTTGTGGATGCCCCGTCCTTGGATGTGTTCAAGGCCAGGTTGGACGGGGTCCTGGGCAACCTGATCTGAATGTGTGTGTTTGGTGGCCCTGCTAGGCAGGGGGGTTGGAACTACATGATCCTTGAGGTCCCTTCCAACCCGGGTGATTCTGTGATTCTGTATCTATCAATAATACAAGAGGCATCAAGATTGTTTTTTTTTAAATCTAAATATGTATGTCAACTCTTCGTTATTAAACTCTTTACCAATGCCTAAGCTGATGTTTCTGTTAAAATTATTTGCTATTTAATTTATATTATAGCATATATATATATATATATGCTATTTAAAAAATATTTGCTATAATAGTCCTGGTTAATATTTAAATACTAACTTAATTGGAAATAAAGAATGATAAAGGAATACATTCTACAATTTGCATATATTACAGTAAGATGTAAATTTAAGCCAAGGTACCATTGTTCCAGGAAATTAAGTGAACAGATACATGTGCATCAGGTAAAATACAGCAGTCTACAGTAAAAGATACTGATTCATCTTTAGTCAGGTGAACGCTTTGCACTTTCTGACCGATAGATACAATTTTTAATTGTTTCATTATTCCAGTTTTGAGTAGAAACTACTTTAAAATGATATTATTTAAAATTTACCTGTCCCTTTGCTATCAGGTAAGCAACAATTGAAGTATGTCCAAACTGGGCAGCCAAATGAATACAGCTACATCCTTCTCCATCTATTAGCGACGGATCTGCCCCATATTTCATCAGCTGTACAACCATGGATAAGTGACCCTGCCTAAATGCAACAGAACACAGAAAACAAACAACTGAATAACTATACACAGGTATGCCATGCAATTTTAAAATATTTTGAAACAACAAACATGACCTTTAATATATACTTGGACAAAAGTGATCACCATGACCTGAGTCTGCAACCAAGTTTTTAAATCCTTTCACGTGAGCAAATTCTATGCAGCCAACACACAGATCACATGCAATTGGCTAAGGTGTGTTGTAAAAGGTCAGTCAGCAACAACAAAGTTATTAGCTCAGATATTTAGCCTATTGAGGCTTCTTCCCATCCACATCTGAAACCTGTTGTTTTAAAAGATGCCAAACAGATTATATATATAATATATATATATATATAATTATATAGATTATATATATAAATATATATATATTTGTGGGGTGTTTTTTTTTTTTTTTTGCAGTATATATCGTTTTTCTACTTTTAAAAACAGCACAGGAGAAAAAAGCCTACTTTTTCTCCATACATTTGAATCTCATCTATTTGATAGACTTATTCTTCCAGCAGATAGGGTGTACAATTATGAGCACACTTACCGACATAAGCTAAAAAACAATCTGTGTGTGTCAGAAGAAGCTTTGCACAATGCTTCACAGAACAGATTATACTTATGAATACCAGGAAGTGCAATCAAACATTCGTGTATTAACATATAGAAAGTAGGATATGATCTGTACCAGCAAGAAATACCCAAGCTAAGATTTTTAAAGGGGTCTAATAAGAAAGTTCTCATCTTTAGTAAAGAAATTATCTTGATACAAACTGATTTTCTACATCTTCTTTACTTTCCTGCCTATTTGCTACGAATTGTCTGCCACTACTGAAGGCTGACTTCAATTCTTCCAGCCAGTCATCATCCTCACACCACCTTCTACACCATAAGACTGATTTAAAGTGCCTCTTAAAATATCTACACACATACTAGAAAATTGCAAGGACAGTGTCACACAAAATCAACCCAAGCCCCAGATGGGCATACACTGATCTTCCAAAGACTGATAAAGCAAAGATCTTCAAAATAAGAATAAAGCAAAGTGACTACAGACTCTAACTTTATTTTATTTTCTCCTGTCACAGAAATCTTCCTCGGCATCAGAAAGAGATAAGGAAAAAAATTAAAAAAAAAAAAAAAAAAAAAAAAAAAAACCAAACCACGTGCTGAAAGCTCTTGTAGATCAAACATGCCACATTCACAGCACTCCCTGTCATCAGTGACTGAGTTCATCCCTGCACAAGTATTCCCATAAAATACAGCCACTGTATAAATCAATCCGTGGTGGATACCAAGTTAAGAAAAACACGGAGGAAAATCCCAAGACTCTTCCTCACCTTGTTGCCCAGTGGAGTGGGGTAGAATTTAAATCTCCTCCAAGCTGATCGACGATTGCACCTTTTGATATATAGTATCTGTATGACAAAAAAAACAGTAAATGTTAATCTTGTTTCAATGCTCATCTTGTTTCAAAAGAAAGGACACACAGTAGGCATGTTGTTCAACATTATGGAAAACACCATGTCTTCATTTAAACTTCCTTTTTTTGCCTTTTTGATATGGGTGAGGAGAATAGGTATACCTCTTCCTGTATATTAAGCATGCTGCTCTTTCTTATCTAGGTTCTAAAGCAAAACACAGTAATTGCTATGTATGTTAATAAAAACCATGCCACCATATAAGTATCCTCAAAAAAAAAAGTTTCTTCTAAATTTGTTGGGGTGCTCACTAGGATAAAAAATAATTCTGAATTAATAGTAAAAGAAATGCTGCTAGAAGACTAGCATACTTAGAGAAATTTGGCAAAGATGACAAAGCTATATGTAATTCATCTCACAGCACGTATCATCACCACTGGAACAGCCCTGCTAATGTCACTGCTCCAAGAGTTTCTGCTTAAGCTACATTTTAAACCAAGTCTTAAGATTTTACACTTTTCTCTATTGAAGTACAATACTAAATAAAGAACAGAAATATTTGAGTACTTTAAAAACACTTTAAAACGACAGCCTAAAATTCGTTTCTTCCTCCAGAACATTTTAAAACAGACAAGCTACTTGTAAGAACACAGTAAGTAATCCGTTATTTAACTGTAGCAACTCATATTCATAGTCATTTGTAACGTTTCTGCAAACTGCTTTCCTTGCTGTTTTATTTGGCACACAAAACCAGCAGTATTATTTTTCCTTTGTGAAAGAAAATGCACACATTACAAAAACTCATGTTTTTTTAAAAACAGTTTTCCGGTAAGGCTGAGAACACTGATTCTTCATTCAGTACCATAAGTGCCACTGGCAAAGAGGTACAACTAATAGATTTTTGAAAAGTGCCACCTACCTACAGATTTCTAAGTGCCTGCACATTGCAGGTACCTGTGCCTGTACACTTTTTGCTAGCATAATACCTTCAAGGTCTGTGTGAACCCTACTCTTCTACCCACACAAACCGTCCTTCAAAATCCTCAGCACAGAGTTTCTCACTCCTCAATTTTCTGTATGTATTTCAAGGCAGATGGCAAGGAGGACAACAAACATAACAGTCTGAAAACCATTACTCAAAGCAACTACCTTCTTTTGCTCAAGTGCTTATCAATTCTCAGATTGAAGCTTCAAAGAGAGTCCAGAGGATACTTACAGAAAGAGTAACTGAAGAATGCATCAGCTAACAATATCCATGCTAAAAAGCAGAGTCCTTTACACAGCAGGTTTAAAGGTATCAGATATAAAGACTTGCCAGTGTCAGACAAACAGGTTACCTAACCCTGACCAATGCAGTACAGTCCACTTCACTGCTTTCTGACACTAAAGGAACAAATCTGCAGTATCTCCCTGCTGAAGCTTTTGGACAATTCAACGAGAACAAGCAGGATTTTTTGAAAGACCTGGTCCTATGTAAGTGAATAGACAAAGCTTACATAAGCTACAGGGACTTCATTTCATTGTGAAGCAAGATTCAGACACCAACATATAAATTTCAAAAAGACACCAAGAAGCAGATTTAGTCCATTTGGGGAAGAAGCTTCCAAGACAATCTGTCTAGAGAAGAAGACAACACAGAAATTCACAGGCAAAGCCTGGATCCATCTCACTGATGTGACAGCCACTCATAGGGAGGTGAACATTAAACAGATTGTTTCCTTTCAAACAGTAGTCCCCGCAGAAATGCAGAATATGTTCAGATTTTACTGAGCAGCAGCATTGCTTGTTGGCTAGTACATTTTATTTAGAATGACAAACTTACAGTTTGACAACGGGGAAAAGATAAGGCAACTATCTCCTGCCAGATGGTGCACTGAAATAACTTATGTTTATTTAAGGGTGTTCTAGACTAAGTTGAGATTTATCACTCTACTTCAGTATACATAGATGGTGAGCTTTTTGCAAAACTAATCAAATAACTTGATCTTGCCTAGGTAAATCTCCCAATTTTGTGCTTGGTGAGAATGTTATTGAAAGGAGAAACTAAATGATTCGACTCTCCTTGAGTCATTCAGAAATCCATGCCAGGTGTGCAAGTCTTATTTAAGCAAACTACTTACATTCAAAGCAAGCAGATCTTATGATAGGTTGGCTTAGGAAGAAAATACTTCCAGTGATTTCCGCATTAGAATCACTAAGTCTTGGCCAAGCACTTGACAACTGCCTATGCTTGGATTCAGTAGCTGCAGAATTAAAGTGCATGCAGTTGCTATTGGCAGAAAGAGGAAAAGCAGAAGACAGATCCTTGTCTGGAGAATATTAAAGGCAGCATCTGATGTCAGTCACTAGGTAACTGTAGAGGTATACGGCTAATTTCGCCTTCTCATAACATTGAGTCAAAAACAAACAAAAAAAATCAGTGCAGTCATTTAAACAGAAGTACATTATAGATGTCTGACACTTATGGAACACTCTTCCCTGATCCTGTAGAAATAAAAAAGGGTTCCATAGTTTTCATTACAAAGCATCCATGGACTTCACACCTACCTAGGCTGAACCCCTAGTTTTGCAACAGAAGAACACAAAGAAACAAGGGAAGCCTAATTCCAGGTTTGCACTCTCCACATACAAACTGCTAAACTCCTTCGTCGGGATGACCTAAAATAGTCCACAGCTAGTAAGATGGGCACTGAGATCTGCTATTGCAAGAGAGGGTCACTTAGACCTAAACATCACCTATGTGATACCAAGCTTACTAGACAACACGTTTATTGGAAGTAGCCACTGCACCTAATGGTCTTTAAAAAAAAAATAAAATCAGCATTTTAAAGAATGTAATTAGTTTATATAAATCCTTATATATAGTACATACTTCACCAGATCTATCCTGTTGTTGATTGCAGCCCAGTGGAGAAGTGTCACATTTTCTTTATCTGGTTGTCGCACATCATAACCTGCTTCCACCAACTCTCTACATCGTTCATATATTCCATACCTTGAAGAAGAAAATATTATTTTCAAAGCTGTTATCTTGGGAAAAAAATGAATTAGACAAACACCATAACGATTATGATACTCTATCTTCAACAAAATGGAATTGAAGCAGAAATATTCAGTTTCTAAGTGAACACAGATCTGTTGCAGCAACAGCTTTCCACTTGTAGAAGTTACATGAACCAACTCAAGACTTCACGAAGGACTTCTCTCCACAGGAAGCTATAGAGCAGAACACGGTGAAATACACATCAGTAAGAAGGGTAAAATAAAACTCCTCCCAGGAACTCTCCTGTATTTGTTTCTCACAGGCCCGTTTTCCTTCCTTTCCATCTCTGGAAGGCCTCAATAATTAGACCAACCAATATGAAAATATCTTCCAAAAAAATCAGTACAGCAGATAACAAGATCATCAGATCAGCTATAAGCATAACAAACATATTTCAGACATTTACCATTTTGTCTTCTTAGATAACAAACAAAGAGCACCTAACTCTAATATTAAATATTTGTCCTGTTCGTAGTGGCAATAAAAGCAATGTAGTAAGGCTTGTAGAGACTACACTGGAATGTTTGTACAACCCACAGGGATTTCCCAAGTCAAAAGCAAAACCTGGAATCAAGTCCAAACCTTTCTTTCCTTGCAATATCTGACTTCTGCTGAAGCAGAAGTTTAACATCCTCTCAAAGCTGGAATTTAAGTACATTTTCCTTACGCTGCTTCTACATTTTCCTTTTTAGAGATGACACAGACAACAGAAGGCCTCTTTGCTCTACTTAAATCAGCCAGTTTAACTATTGTTTAGACTTTTTTTCTTAGGGTAATTACCATTCTTACTTTTTCTTTAATACAGTTGAATGGATCTTCAACCCAGACATTAATGCCACAGTGACATTTCAATTGACTCAAGTCAAAGCCAGTAACACTTTCCAAGCCCACAGCTGGACAGTATTAAAAAAGAAGTATTAAAAAGAAGTACTAGACAGAACCTACTAAAGCATGCTGTTCTCAACTTCTCAGGGAAACTTACACTGGAAATCATAAAAAACAAGATACTACTGTCATTTCTCTAATCTTTCGAAAGCTTTGCCAAGGAACAGGACAAAGATCACTGCCTGCCACACACACTAATTGCAACCAGATACAGTTTGATTCCTCAGACCTAGCAGAAAAGCAGCTACGCCATGAATAATTTGGACAATAAATCTTTGTTTTCAATCAGGTGGGGGGAGAAGGAGGTGCACAGAAGGACAGCGTGGTTTATGAAGACTCAGAAGTATGCAATCAGTTAGAACACATACTCAGACACGTGCCAAGAAAATCAAGAAGGTTCTTAGTCTGGCCAATCTTTGAAGTTCAAGTCCAGATAAAAAATGGGACCTGACAAGTCATTGCTCAAATGGGTTAAGATACAATTCCTGGATGTTCATGCAGTCAAAAACACCACTGAAAAAGGTTTATGGTAACCACAGGCAAATCAGCCAAAAATGAAGATTAGTGAAAAAACAGCAAGAGGGGTGATAGCAGAGCTTCTGAAAGCAAGATAGCTAATTCTGGTCGTAAGGGCAGTATATAGAATTGAATAGGGCAGTTGGAAGGGAACACTTCCAGTCAGTGGGAACCTCCCCAGCCTACAAAGAGGTGCAGTAAATCATTGAGAGGGATCCAGCTATAAAACATCACTAACTCCTTCAATACTATGGGGTGAATCTCATCAGATCCCACGAACATTCAACTGATGGTCCCTTGCAGCTGAAAAGTTGTTTCTCTCCCATGGTCTTCCAGCACAGAGGACCAGGCATCCCAAGTCATTGATGTTAAATACTGAAGTACAAAAAAAACCTAAAAAAAAAAACAATGCATTAAATGCCTCTGCCTTTTACTCATCCTTACTTCCTAGGTGACCATCCAGAATCAGTCCAATGTTTTCCTCAGACCTTGCCTTTTTTCACTGTCTGACATTATACTGACAAGTTGAGCTCTGGCTTCTTTTGTTTTCTCCCAGAAGAGGTAAACTGCAGCACTGTACTGCCCCTGTGAAGCAAGACCTTGCTTCCAGATACATATTTTCTTCCGCTGCCCTTGTTCTAAGAGTTCCCCATTCAGTCAAACCAGTCTTTTACCCCACTTGCTTCATTTGTGGCAGAGTGGGATTGCAAACCGCTGGGCTTTTAAAAGGTGTTTCTTGAAAAGCAATCCTCTAAGAGACCTGCAAACCCACTGGGCGTGATTCCCAAGGCACACCTACAGCTAACTCCTCAACCAGTTTCAAGCTTGCTCTCTTAAAATGGGTGGCAACTCAACTGATTTCTTTTCTCATTACATCAAAAACTTTGAGCTCAACTATTTCACGATCAGTGTGGCCAAGACAGCCAACTACCTTCGTATCTCCCGTAAGGCCTTCTCTATTCTCAAACAGCACATGTAGGAATGCACCTTTCCTGGTTAGCTCACTAAGTACTTGTAACAGGAAATAGTCTTCAACATGCTTTAGGAATTTCCCAGAGCTGCTTATCTCACACTGACATTTTACAACGTTCAGAGGTTGTAACTGATTATAAAAGATTTAATGTGAGGAGTGATTTAGTAACTCTATAATTTATTGTCACAAGAGGTCGTAAGGTTCTAAACATACAAAAATCACCAGGCAGAAAAGATCAGGAATTTACAGCAATTCATTCCTGTTCCTTGAAAAAGCATGCTCTCCACAAGAAAACAGTGAATTTGATGCAGTTCTGGCTTCTTGAGCTCTGCCCTAGAAGCACAGCACCCCTCTCTTACACAACAGCTAGTCTTCTTTCATCAGTTTGCTGCAGTTGACCTGGCACTATCTTCTGCAAAAGTTCATGACACACTGTTAGATTACAAAATGCACATTATACTCACCACACTCCCAATGTAGCTATAAAGGAGTACAGAATGGCTCGAGTTGGAAAGGATCTCAAGGATCATAAAGTCCCAACCTCCCTTCCACAGGTGGGGTTGCCAGCCATTACATCAACAACCAGACCAGGTTGCCCACGGCCCCACCCAACCCGGCCTTAAACACTTGCAGCAATGGGGCATCCCCAATCTCTCTGAACAACCTGTTCTGGCAATTCCTTTCAAGAAACAGGAAGGAGGAAAAAAATTCAAATCTCACAAGAGGTCTGTACATCAATATAACAAATTCTGCGCTTGGGTGAATTCTAGAGGATGATATTTGTAAATATCAATGGAGTGTAATTATGAAGGTATATTACTAAGCTCGTCTTGTTCTTGGGAAAAATTTGACTAGCTCTTCTAGAGCAAGAATAACATTGCATAAACTCATTTCGTTATTACAGTCTAATGTCAGCAGTAACTAATGTAATATCTCATTTTTCATGAGTCAAAGATATCTAAATTCAATTAGAAACTCATTTCAAAAATAGTATTGTAGAATCCCTTTCCATTTTAAATATGGAATCCATTTTTGTCGGCAAGCACAGTTTTAGAAACAGACACTGCCAGCTTTGCCATAAGATCAACACAAAGTACACAATACTAGCAAGGAATCTCTTTTCAGAGAACACATCACTATGCCAAGCCAAGAGTTTACTCCCTCATCTTGCTATCTTTGCAAATTCAATCAAAGCTATTTTAGCTGGAAATGCAATCAGTAACGAAACGATCATTTTTTCCCCTTAATCTTTTCAAGTCTCGTTCCATGAATGATGGCAGTTATTAACGCACAAACAATATAGGAATATGTGAAACAGAAAGACAGCTTTGTTTTCAACAGCAAAGCTGCTCCTTAGCAAACTCAAGAGCTGCTTAATGAACCACAAACAATGATGTTGACAAATGAGAAATTCAGTTGTTGCATGCATTCCGAAGTCTCAGAGAGGGTAGGTAGTTGTAGTTATATTGGTAATTGGTTTACAGAACAGGAAATTCACACCCTTCCATTTGAGCTTTGATTATATTGCTGAAAATGGTATGGGTATATACACATAAAAAAAAAATCCACAGGCTAAAACAACAAGCAGGTAAAGCGCGTGCATGCCTCTGTCAAAGTCTGCCCATCCTGTCCTCTGAATGGTTGAAAATAACAGTGATATTTGTAACATTGGCCAACCCTCACCAATTTCCATTATTCTGGAGGATTTTTTTTTCTTTCTTAAGTATACTGTGAATGTTCTTAAATATATCCAACTTTCTTTTTTCCCCAGGAAGCTTCAGCACAGATTCTGCAAGCATTGCACCACACTATTTCACAACGCACACAAATCACATTTTGAATGATCTCAGTGCTAAAACTAAGTTAATCTTGCAATAGGAAAATCATACTTGGGGAACAAGGAATCCATCTTGTAGAACCCAGGAAAGTAGTTCTTAATATCGTTAATGTTTAACATTAATGTTCAGAATATTATTTAACACACTTCCAGCATAGCTGGATTAAATTGTCTCAGAGGTGGTTCCTTGGCTTTCATTTTCACCTGCTGAATGCATCATTTTACTAACACTTTTATTTCTCTGTAGTTAAGAGTCAAGAAAGTCAACATTTTAAAGTCAAATTTTACAAACAGCATATATAGAATACAGAGAAACTAAAACATTTTCATTCATTTTTTTAATCAACTTTGTAGTTTAAGGAGCTGTTTCTCATTTCAATTTTGTACAATAACAAACAGCTGATTTCACAGCAGAAACTTTTAATAGTGCAGTACATGAAAAACAGCATGAACAACGACTGACAGTAAGTTAAATAACTGACTAGCTACTCAGAAGTTGTGACTGCTTTCTCCATGGATTATCACAAACTTGAGAGCCAACAGTTATACTCTACACTGAAATGCACTTTCCATCTGTCAAGAACCCTACAGTTTCAACGGCCTTACTTTAAATGTCAAGTATTTCGGATGACATATTTGTCTTTTGAAGCATTGTGGGTTTTTATTTTGTTTTAAAAAGAAAGAGCAAGACATGCAACTGTATTATAATTAGCTATCCAATCAGTCCTGAGAGCAATTGAAATTCTTCCACTAACAGTAAGCACCCCAGCTATCATTCAATGTTATCATGCTATGAAAATCATAACATTCTTCTAGGGGAGGTTGAAAATGTTCTGAAAGGGAAAAAAAAAAAAAAAATGTGCTGCCAACTTGCATTGAATGATATGCATTCAATGTAAAACACTGAAATGAAAACAAAGAAAAAAAAACACAAAAAAGCCAGCAAACCACCACCAGAAGTTAGACGAATGAAAATAAATCCTATTCTGTTTTGCTACCTTTTCCTTGAACTTACTGATTTAGTTAGAGAAGGTCTAGAAGACAGATAAGCATTCTTTTGTATTTTTACTTTTTAGCAAAGCTTTTTGTGGCATCTAACTCACATTAGCAATGAACTGAAAAGTAAACTAAGCCACTTATTTTAATCAAAATGAACAATGAGTTTTGAGGACAAGCGCTAGAAGAAAAGGTCATCTATTTTCATTCAAGTGAGAGAGGTTATATTTCTACTAAAGTTACTAGACTGTTCATTTCAATATCAGTGCTGCACCTCTTCCCAATAGCTGCTCATCAAGTGAAACTTCACTTTCGATACTAATGCGGACACCGTATTTCTAAAGACTTGGTTGTTGCTCATAAGTTATCACTGAGTTAATGTAGTAGCAGCTTTATGTTATTCCAAGCCTTACAATACTTGGTAAGCTTATTTTCTGTCTTAAACTTCAGAGTTTCCCACATTTTATGTAACAGGGCTTTCAAACTGCTGTAAAAACTTAACCCAGTGAAGACAAAGTAGAGGTGAGGTTTCCCTCTAGTCCGATTGTTTCCTTGGAATACTACTAACATAACTTGATCATACACCCATGCTGACAGCCACCTATCCCTGAGCTATGATGGCAAACAGAATCCTCTCTTGCAGGTAAGAGAACATAGAATAGTAGAATACACTGAATTGGAGGCGACCCATAAGGATCATCAAGTCCAACTCCTGGTACAACACAAGACCACCTGAAAAAAATCAGACCACAACTGAATTCATTGTCCAGATGCTTCTTGAACTCTGGCAAGCTCAGCACCATGACCACCACCCTGGGCAGCCTGTTCTAGTACCCGACTACCCTCTAGTGAGAACCTTTAAGTAACACCCAACCTGACCCTCCCCAGATGCAGCTCCATGCCACCCCCTCAGGTCCCATCACCACCACCAGAGAGAGTTCAGATAGATCAGTGCTGCCCCTCTGCTCCCCTTCTGAAAAGCTATAAGCTGCAACGAGTTCTTCCTCCAGTCTCCTCTACTCGGGGCTATACAAACCAAGGAACTTCAGCTGCTCTTGATACATCCTCCCCTCTAAACTCTTCATCTTTGCATCCCTCCTTTGGAGGCTCTCTCAGTCTCCCAAAACTGCACACAGTACTCCAGATGAGCGCACACCAGTGCAGTGAAGAACAGGACAGTCACTTCTGTTGGTCTGCTGGTGATGCTGTGCTTGATGCATCCCAGGTCATGGCTGGTATTCCTGGCTGCCTGGGCTCACTGCTGACTCATGTTCTACTTGGTGAGAGTGGCTCACCAGTGCTTCATCCCCCAGTCTGCATATATAGACATCTCACCAACCTCATCACACCAGTACTGTGAAGGAGGATAACAATTAACAGGCCTATCAGTTGTATGTTAGAAGAGACCAGAAAAGAATTAAAATCCATTAGCTGTAAGCACAGATCAACCTAAATTTAATGGATAACTAACAAATGTGTTTTGGGTTTTCAAGCATATAATGAGCTCAGAAAAACAGAAGAAAGTAACTTGCAAAATTATCACTTCTGCTGTCACAGTCCCATGTCTTTAAGAAGCACCTTGTTTCATGTTATACCAATGGTTTCATTTCAAGGAATCCCCTGCTAATAGGATTACAGGTTAGTATTACTATTTAAATCTTTAGAGTTACAATCGTAGGTTCAGTCAACGTTTATATCAGGAAGTTAAAAATTCCCATCCATTCAGAAAGTGAAGGAAAGCACACATCTCCTACACCTAAATGTGGCATAAGTCAGGAAATGAGCTGCAAATGTACTAATTAAAAATAATTTTTAGGAAATAAATGGAAATGTATATAAAAATATACATAAGAGGCAAGTAGCTTGGCAATATATATTATCATGCAGGCATTCAAAATAATGTAAGACTTCTTTTTGTAAAACTATCATGTTTTCAGCTAACTGAAGAAGATAGATGGAAGTGATGTTGGTAGTTTCTGAACAGTAAATAATGGAAAGTTGGAAGGTAGCTCAATGACAATTCTTCAGAATGTCTTGCAAATAAGAACTATTACAGGACTTTACAGAAGACAAATCTGTATAAGAAAATAATTGTAAGTTAGATTTTCTCTCCATTTGTTCTTATAGTCCTTTCTCTTAACAATAACTCAGTTTCATAGCAGTGTTGAAACTGCCAAATAAGAAACAGAATTCATCTGTACGTAACATATCTGAACCTACAAATGATGCCAAGAAATGAAGGAAATCCTCATGTCTGCTTATCAACATGTTGCCCACCTACCTTTTAATCGTCAGTTAGAGAAAAACTCCAGCACAAACATGAAAAAATTGCTTTCTTTTCCAACAATCCTCCCAGCAACCACCTGTATTTACAGTTAACGCCAGTGCTTCACACAGTGCTTACAGATCTTAAACAATACAGTTCATTTACAAGATCTTGCATTACTATATACACAAATGCAGTCAGCCTTGAACTGCCTTCACGTTAAAAAATACTATTCAACTAACACAGAAAGACAAATCTAAAGCTCAAAAATAAGCTTACTGTGTGGCTTTGACAATGTCCCAAGTGCTGTAATCATCAATGTGGCTTTTTCGTCCAAGAGATTCACTGTATCCATGGTTGTAATGGCTTTGAGGCTTTATTTCCTAGAAAAGAAATGTGTTGTTAGGACACCAAAATCAGCACAGCTAAAAGATCATTTAAAAAAAAAAAATGAAATATAAGCGAGTAGTACCCTATACATGCTGTAAATCTACCAGAATCTGGGAGATGACTACTCAAATTTCTTCATTTTGTAACTGACACCGAATTGCAGTCAAGTATCTCCTGTAAGCTAAATACTAACTAAACAGTTAATAATAGTGCCTAGAATCTGCTGATACTTCACTGATTCTTCAGCTCAAGTCCCAGCTTCAGAGGTCATTCGTGCACATTTCATCAACAGGTCCCTTTTTGATGCAAAACATAAAGAATGGAATTTAATACTTTGCCAGGGCTCCTCAGCACAGAAATAGATGGCATCAGTATGAAGTTCCTTGTCACATAGCATTCCCTGTTTGCTTAATTATTTTGATGAATGGAAACACTTCAACCCTTAACGTTTCCCTTGGTGGAATTTACATTAAAATACTGCACTGACAAATCACTCAAGTAGCAACATTACATTTTTCCTTAAAAGCTGAACGCATGTAGAAATTCAGACAAATCAGCAAGCTGAAATAGAGTGGATTTTATACAGTTTACAGTTTTCTGTATCTTACAAGTAACACATAAATTGGTAGCGCTGGGTAACAATTGTTCAGTTCAGCACAGCTGCATAAAATAGGAGAACTGGGACAGTAAGGCATTCAGATAGAGTAGTAAGCTCCCTGAAAGTTCAAAAAATGTATTTGAACTGATTTTAATAAAATGTTATTTCCTTCTTATACCTGTACTTTTATTCAGTTTCTCTTCACAAGTATTTACATGAGCAGAAATTGTTTATTTAATGTATTTACACGGAGACACTTTGAAATGCCTTTTGAAAGGTTATTAAAGTTGGTAATTGACTTTTTCTTCACACGAGACAGATTTCTATTTACAAATAAAGCTGTCCTGAGCCAAGACAATCATGCTACAACACACCTAAACTTAACAGAAAGATCTGCAGTCTCAAATCTCCACAAACTTCTTGAAAACAAACATTCTCCAGCTAATCTAAGTGACTGAAGATATATCAGCCCTGGGGACATGCTGCTATCAAGATGAGCAGCTCTGCTACTACATACACTCTCTCATCTCTGCACTTACTTCTGGAAAATGAAGCATTAGCATCTCCTTACTGCACCCACTGACTGCATCAGGAGTATCATCTCAAGAACAAATGACCTCTATATGCAATTACCAAAACAGATTTATTCCTGTTCATAGACTTTTGTTTTTTAGTAAATCCTTTTTAGAAAGATTTTCTTTAGTTTTCCTCAGTACTCAAACAACCAGAGAACATCTATACACGACAGCAATGTTTTCCGTGGTGCTCAATCTTCTCATTGTTTTTCTAAGCCTGAAAATTAACTAGATTAACCACTTAAGCATTGCCAGCCCAGCAGGAAGGCTGCTCTGTTGCCATCTCTACAGGATAAAACCTAAAACTGTAACAAGGCATCTGCTGCCATCCAAACTGCAAGTCACAACCAACTCTCTTACTACCCAAAAGCCCTGCTTCATTTTAAGGCAGCAACAGCTTAACCAAACCCACTCCACTCCAGCTACTAGATAAGCCAGCGTGCTTCTGAAATAAAGCTGCAAAAAGCACCAAACAGAAGATATTACAATGAAAGCAAAACATAATAGCATACTAAATTCATTATTATGTGCCATGCAATTTTTTCTTTCTCCTCATATTAGAAAAAACAGGATTTGTACCAACTCTGTTCTCCTGTTACACTATAAAATCACACCAGTATTTTTCGAACAACAACTCTCAGATCTTTAAAATCTAAAGGAAAAATCTAACAGGCAGAGGCCAGAACAAAGGAAATCTGCTGTCCTGGAATACCCTGATGAGACACATTTCATAGAATTACAGAATTATAGGGACTGGAAGGGACCTCTAGAGAACGAGTTCTAATCCCCCTGCAAAGCAGGCCCGCTACAGCACGTGCACATTTCTTAGCCTTCCACAGATATTGAAAAGGGGGAAAAAAAAAAAAAAATAAGTCTGCCATCTTGTTATGCAGCAGGTATTAAAAGCAAACTGAGAAACTTATGTTCAGACATTTGTGAGTTTACTAGGTGTTTCCTATTTCTCTTCAGCTGCATTTTCCCGAGCACTTTGAGCACACAAATCAGGCTTCCCATCCCCTGAGCCCACACCAGACAAGAGAGCTGCTCATTTAAAAGTGGTGACTGTGTCAGCCCCAAGTGACCATGAAACCACAGCCTTATGATACTAATGCTTTCACAAAAAGGTTTATAAACACATAGCAAAAGCCTGAATATTAATTATTAATAATGTCATATCAAAAATAAAGTGAAAAATTATATCTATTAGCCTCTACTCCTACTTACCTACTAGGTCTACTAGGCATTTAAAATGTTAAGGACACTGTCGTTACCATTGGAAATTTAATCTTCAGTATCTCCTTCTGCACTGTTTTCAACAGGTGAGCCCAAAACCCATGAACACGGACTGCCTCAGTCTACTGAACACAGCTTCCCTTGGACTTCCACCTTTTGCTTTAGCACTCACTACCAGCCTCAGCCATTTCAGTGAACAGTTTGGTTTCTGTACGTCTCTGCTTACTCATTAAAATCACAGAATCATAGAACAGCCCAGGTTGAAAAGGACCACAATGATCGTATTTCAACCCCCCTGCTGTGTGCAGGGCCGCCAACCAGCAGACCAGGCTGCCCAGAGCCACATCCAGCCCAGCCTTGAATGCCTCCAGGGATGGGGATCCACAGCCTCCTTGGGCAGCCTGTTCCAGTGCGTCATTAGACTGAACACTAACTTCTCAGGAAACTATAAGCTGTTGTATTTAATCACCTCAGATTTCCTGACTTGTGATATTCCAACCTCTGACCAACAGAACTCAACCACGCTACCTCTGCTTTCATAAGGACAATATATAAATGGATCAGGGAGGGCAAAAATAAAACCCAATTTCAAATAAAGATGTGCTATGTCCTGCTCATCCCTGGTAAGACTGATTACAGTGGTGGTATACCAGAGATGAATTTCCCAACACCAGTCACTCTACAATAGAAGAAATCGTAAGTCCTGGTATTCAGACATCTATTTTTGGAGGTCAAAAGAAGATTAAAACGCATAAAAATACAGATTATTTCCTTTGACTTGTTGGAAGAGAAAGCTCTGATTAGAAATCCCCCTCTGATATAGTTACACACTTTTAAAGGAACGGGAAAAACCATTAAAGCAAGTGAAAAATGATGCCCTGTTTACATTATGCACGTCATAGAACATTTTGTTTTATCCCTTTCACTGTCATTTCCCTTCACAAACAAAAACAGATAAAATCCTTGCAAACACTACAGCTGTTTGTTTGTTTTGCAGTGAGAATGTTTTTTTAATCATTTCTAAGCATGACAGACTGAGAGTAAAATAATATGTAACAGTAATATACAGTTATTTCAAGAAACATCATTAACTGTATTAATATCCATTTAAAAACCACTATCAGCTAACTAACTGATGAAAACATGACTGAAATTTTGTTTTATATTTATTTTGCTATCTACTGTCAACAGGTTTCCCATCTCCCACTGTACACAGCCTGAATGCCAGGAAAGCTAAATGCGAGGTATTAGAGACGAGGCCTGACTTTACTGCCTCCAGATAAGCAGGCTGCAAATGCTACATCTCTACTGCACCCTGTTTTAAGCAGCCAGTTCCAAGGGCTGGACTTGAGAGACTGGAGCCAAAGGAGAAGGACAGCACTTCTAGAAGAGAAAGATCAACGCTCCATCCAGCCTCCCTGGTGCTCTTGGCCATGCACTCCCTGAGCCCAACTCAGCCAGCCTGGGTCCATCACATCACTGCCACAATCAGCCAGTGCCATTATGAGAGGAAAACAGACTCGATTCTGCTGTTCCTTGTTTGATTCTTCTCCTAGGGCAGCATGCTGATTCCTTTTTTGCTGTAGATACAAGATCCACAGCCACTGGTGGGTTAGAAACAAGGAAAGAGAAGGCACCAAGAGCACAACTGGCAGCTGCCACTCTGTATCTGACAAAGCAATCAGAGACCTTACACAAGCCTGAAATACTGAAGGACACTGGGCTGACAGGATGAACAGAACGATGCTGCATCTAAGAACGAGTTGATCGGCTGGGAAGGATGCAAGAGAAACAGATTTCTGTTTTATAATTGAACTTAGTTCCCTCATTACTTCTAAGGGGCACTTATTTGAGACGAGCTTCCCACTTCAATGAGTGTCCTCTGACAGCACCCTAATGACTCGCATGCATCTGTGGTTAGCTTGTCATTACTCATTAGTCACAAACTGTGCAGACTGCATGCACAGATACATAAGCAATGAAGGGTGAGGAAAGAATAACGCAGAGAAAAAACAGGGTGTGAGAGAAAAGGGAATCTCCTCTGGAAAACAGGAGCAATAAGCTGGGGAAACAGAAAATAGAGCAAAATATGGAAAACATGGCTAGAAGGGAAGGAGGAGGTGAGGGAGGATGACTCCCAAATGCAAGCATTACCAGCATTCCTGCTCACTTTTCATCACCAAGGGCTCCAGCTATGCCAATTTCCCCTCAGTACTTGAATCTTAATCTCTTCCAATTAAAAAAAACAAACGTGACATAAGTTTAAAGATAATTCCAAAAACAGTAATTGCAGGGGAAAAAAAATTATGTGTGAAAAAATAAGATGACAAAGATGGAATTGTTCTGATTTGTCTCCTAATTCTCAATTATATTTAGCAGGAGGATACGAATAGGTCAGTGTGCCTGTTTGGACATAAGGAAGGGAGAAAAACACTGCTGCTTATAGTTGCTGCATATGGCTATGGTAGGCATCAGCAGATGGCTAGGGCTGCTTTTCCTTTAACATTATGCAATATTGCTGCAAGGAAGAGATATAATGATCGAAGTCAGCCAGTCAAATTCTGAATGGGAACCAAGTTAATTAACA